GAGAATGCTAAATAACAAATTACGTCATATCCTTTTGATCATATTCGTGGGTCCGTTTCAAGCTTCCGTGAACAAGATACTGATTTGATTTAAGCAATAGTTGACGACTTCACAAACTAGTGTATTGACAAGGATTACGGCTTATGAGAAATATATTTTTCAAAAGAATCTTCTTTCAAAAAAGATTCTCTTGGAAAATATAGTTTTCATAAGCCGTAATAATACATTAAGGAAGCTTCTTTAAGACCTTTTGCTATCGATGGATCAGTATATTCTGATGCATATATAAGACTGCGAGAATGCTAAATAACAACTACGTCATATCCTTTTGATCATATTCGTGGGTCCGTTTCAAGCTTCCGTGGAAAAGAAACTGATTTGATTTAAGCAATAGTTGATGACTTCACAAACTAGTGTATTGGCATGGATAATTGTAAGAAAGTGCGAGCAAAAACTGGACCATAGTTACAAAATGATTCATGTATGACACTACATAAATGAAGTGTACTAGTAATGTCAATGTGAGGAAGATTACGAGAATGCGGGTCCACTTACTTCACACTTACATTTGTTTACATTTGATGAGTGGGCCGGGCTATTCCCAAATAAAATGTTGCACACAACATGAACCAGCTTTTACAATACCATCCAACAGGACAATATTGAACGGTGAATACTTCGAAGGTTTCTCCACGAAAAGAAAAGAGAAAAAGTCAGGTCAAGAATTGTAAAGGACGTAATCATTCGTTTCACATAATGTTCATATGACAACTTTGTTATACATGAATGAATGAAAACAACTTTTTGAGACATTCTTTTTTCTCCTTTTTGTTGTCGTGAGCTGTCAAAGGGTGAGAACCTGCGATTGACCACATTTTGCACTGGAAGTTTTGGACCAGCATCTCTTGTCCTGTTCAAGACAAGAATACAAAGTCTAAGTAAACTATCACAAGCTATCTCTACTTTTCTTGCGCACAGCGAAAGTCCATAAGTCCATCGATGAGAATTTTGTAAAATAGTAAATCAAACACCTTGAAAATCCCAAGATTCCCGACCTTCAATAACTACTCGTTGATTTATTAATCTAGATGTATATTACATGTGGCCCAGGTTTTGGTTGAGATTTTCAAAGAAAAAGCTCTAGAATTCTCACACTCCTGTGATTAGTTGGGTGTTGCAATAGCGGTTGTTCGTGTTGTGTATTACGATTGGCTTTGGCACTGGACTGCACATTCAGTAAAATTCGGTTTGAGGGCTTGTCTGTCTTTAAAGATGACTGATTACCCAAGATCCGAGGTAAACCCTCAAGCATTTGGCCTGATCGCAGTGTTTAGTCAACAAACACACACACACACACACACACATATGCTATGACAATTTGGCCCATACTCCAGTCAATGTTAGAATCAGTCTATGAAAGACGAGCAGACGCAGATAATTGTGTCTTACCCTCAGATTGGAAAGAGTGAGGTCTTTCTTCCTAATATGTTTGGAAGACGGAACTGGCCAGACTCACTCCACCTAAAGGGTTTCTATGATTGACTTTTCATACATTATCAAGACCACTCTCGCATCATCTTTCTGATTGGTGCACCTTGTCATATTTGATTTGGCTTTTCATTCGGTAGATATTCCCGTCTCTCATCAGATAAATACATCCATGGCGACTGTTGCCCTGAGAAAATTACCTCTTTATCTTCTAGATACGAAGTTTTAAGTTTATTTCGAGTTATACTCCTCTTCATCCTTTTGACGGGAAAACTTCAACTTGATTGGCAACCCGATTTCTGCGTGGGCTTCTTACTGAGGCGAACTGCATTCTATCCATGACAGCTGGTTTGAGCAAACACCATCGTCGTGCTCTCGGGTAGGATGCCAAGTTCCAACTTCTGAAGAGTACTGCACTCCGTTCTACTGAAATCTTTCCATGACAATTGTATCATCAAGCACCGTTTTCGTGGTCTCAAGTGGGATGGTATGTTTCGGAATGTCAGGGCATCGCCACGTTGTAAAGCAGAATAGCAAGTACGTATTCAAATGGAAGTGTATGAAGAAGAAAGGACATGTTTGTAGGACATGAAAAGGGTAAGGGAAGCACCTGAAGAGAAAAGAAGCCTTCAAGGTCAGCCAGCACTCAAATGGTTCGTCCAGAGCTGTTTTCGGTTCCGGGCCAGTACCACCGAAGCTCAAACATGAAACTTGCCTCCTCGTCATTAGTTTCTCACTTTCCAACTCATTAGTGGCTGCGATAAATTCTTCAAATAATCTTGGATGCATTTATTATATGCGGTAACGAGATGTCGATCTCTATTGATAATTCTTCCCTTCCCGCCCATATGAGATGTAAAGAGCGTAATTTTTTTAAGCTCTAGCATGTAGTTGACTATATTCGGAAGTCGGGATCAATTATCCGTGTTGTCCAAAAATGATGGAAACGCCATCGAGCTGTAAATGGATGAAACTGGAGGAATAAGATGTGGCTAGGCCCCAGAGAAGAGCATATGGCGTTATAGGGGAGCATCCTTCCATACCAGAGATAGGACGAGCGATTCCTGCTACCGCTTTGTCAAACCGCTCGATGCCCAAGAATGCATTTGGAGAGAGGGAAGAGTTGGTTTACTGTTTGGGCTGAACCATGGGATCCCAATTAAGAAGATGTCGCTCGCATTGCGAGAATATAGATCAGAAGTGGACGCCAGATCCTGGTGTCACATGTTGTCCAGAAGCTCACTCTGGCCGATATCATTCTGTAGACCAATCTTCAGTAGAGCAGGCAAGTTGATGAGTTCAGGGTAATAGTGGACTTTAAACCAGAGTTTAATATGATTTAATGCAAGTTGGGGGTTGTCTAAGTGCACAACTTACCACAGTGGTGAATGGATAAAACAAGGCCCATAGATTTGCTTGCTTGCTTGCTCGCTCGCTTGCGTTTGAATTCGAAGTGCCCTTACATGTGGGGCTTCTGTCCAACCATATCCAGGAATGTTTGAAATTCCGAGTTTGCATCACTTTCGATGTTGACAAGTTTCAATCTCTTCCAGTTTTACTCTCTCTCTCTCTCTCTCAACATCAAGCAACTCGATCAAGGAAATCCAGCCGAGCACTGTTCGTTGACTGAACGATTTGCGACATCTTACGGAATAGTACAATGATCTTTGGCTTGTGATAGGCTTGAGATTCTCTCGTGAGACGAGTCCGAAGGGGGTTCAACAAGTCCTCCAGCTCAGGACGTGTGGAGCATCGGGATCAGCATCGAGCCCAACTGCTATCTACAACAGAACTGAGGGTGACTGAGAAACTGTAACATGGGAAGAGGTATTCTCGAAGGAATTTATAAATGATGACAGCTTTATTACAATGCAGTTCTAAATTAGATTAGCCACAGTGAAGAGCATTCTCATCCATCGGTTTCTCCAGGCCCCCAGTTTCTCCAGCCAGCCGAGTAGCATGCAGCCCGAAGGATCACGGCATGTTCAGGTCATTCAATGCGTCCATCCTTCCTCCTTCCGTATGTCCGTATCGTGACGCTTTTGCACCAAATTTCTGTGGCAACTAAAGATCGAGAAAATCCCTCGGAGGCTTGAATAATTTGCACATGCCGGTCGGTGCCTGGACTCCACCATCGAAGGGAAGCGAAGGGAAGGAGCAGCAGAAGATCACCGGGCGTAGAGTAGATCCGGCCAGCAGGCCAGAGCCGCCCTCGACTAGAAACCGTCCATAGATGGCCGGCTATCCACTTACCGGCGATCGGGACAAAAGAAAGACGACGAGTTTGCCCCCGTGGACCCGGTGACTGGATACCGGGGTCTGTCATGCGGATACCATATCGACGACCGGGAGTCGATATTCCCTCGGAGGATTTGATCCGACCGTCGATTGGCGAGAAGGCCGTGCCCCGAATCAACGTCACGTTAGGTGGGGTCCCTGGCTGGCTTCCGAGCCCGTAGGTGAGTTGAATGCAGGGCCATAGTTCCTCGTAGGGTCAAAGGAGAGGAGACTGGACGCGAGAAGCGAGACGCACCACGAGCCGATGAAAAAGTCAATACTTAAGCAGTGGGATTAATAAAAAATTAATATATCGCGGCCAGTCGCTGTGCGTCTCCCGCGATCTATCTCTCGCGTCGCAGCTTCCCGCGATCTATCTCTCGCGTCGCAGCTTCCCGTTCCAGGACCCGACGATGCGACGCAGACTGTCGTCCTGTCTATTCTGGATCTGGGCCTTGGGCCAGCAGCACCTCATCCATGCGCGCGTACAGAACCGCAGCAGCCCTTTGCCCAGCTCGGCACTCCGCACTCGGTCTCGATACATCTCCCAACCCTGTAACCCGACTTTGTCCTATCCAGTCCACCGTACGAACTGCGTCCTGTGCTCGATGGAGCTGGAGCTCGATGTTTCTCTCTCTCTCTGTCTCTCCTCTTCATGATGATGTTCCGCGGATCACAAGCAACACGGATAGCGCACGCTTGACAAGATTCCAATAATGACATTCATGTGTGAAGAAGACCAAAAATTTGGAAGGTTTCGGCGTCATTTCCTATAGTTATTCCTCGGTTAGAGTTAACATTTCAACGGAGAAATAACTTTCGGAATTTTAGTTGAAATTTTAGTTGCAGATTATAGACCATCTGCAAAAAGTCGAGAAATGAAACGAAATATTTTCTACAGAAATAATATTTCTTTACACTTTTGTATAATTATTATTAACTGACAAAGAAGGTTTAATGTGAGAAACAAAAAATGACGATATTTCGGGTTCATCTTTAAGTGCATTCATGTATTCTGCATTTTTAGACACAGGGGTGGCGTTTATGTCCGGCGACCGGACGGCGTGGGGGAAGACTGCGGTCGCTGTCTCCAGCACGGACAACTGCAGTTCTTATCGTCCGCGCCACGGACCTGGTCCGAGGCTACGACGTAGCGCGGAGGTCGCCCTCTTCACCACGAGAGGCGCACACGTGTGTGGGGCTCGTACCGCTGCGAGGGGAACGTCGGAGCGGGGCCAGAAGAACTGCCCATCGGGGCTGCCCACACCCGTTGCAGCTCAAGCAGGAATTGCGTCGCCGAGGGGCAGAGGGACTGAAATACAAGATCGATGCCTCGCCTGGCGGATTCTCTCTCGCTAATGATGAATGAATGGATGGATGGATGAATGAACGAATGAATGAATCGAGGAGGAGGCGGTGGTGGAAGAAGCAGCAGCAGCAGGAGAAGGAGGAGTAGATTGCTCTCGTCTGTCTCGTTCGTCCTCCTGAGCAGCGGGAGCCGGAGCGGAGCGGAGCAGTGACACCACGCACAGACATAATCATACACGCAGCACAGAAGCAGCAACAGCAGCATCATCATCATCAGCAGCAGCAGCAGCAGCGGCGCCCACTGGCCGATTAAGCGTCTCTGGGGGGACTCTCGTGGGGCCGGAGCTGGTCTTGTCACCAATCTTTATGGCGCGGTCACTGGTCATTTGTTGGTGGTGGCTTTCAGCTCTTTCGTAATTGCCCGCATCGATCTTTGGCCTCTCTTCGCAAGCTAAGTTGCGTGCACACACACTCTCGGAGTACTCGACTCAAAAGGACGCAGCGCGCTCAGCCCTCTGCAATCCTTGCACTTCTGGATGATGAACTTACGTACCTGTTTACTCTAGATATAGAGGTTTCGAGTAGTAGAATTTAGTATAGGTTGGATTTCTGTCACCCGTTGCTCTATCCATCGGTTGTGTATACTCTGTCGATCAGATTATGCGGAACTTGATCGTCGCCGCCCCGCAATTGTGATCTGCCTTCACTTGGTCAGCTTCGGTGCGAGGTTTGGAGCTTGTGTGCGTTTTGGTTCGCTTGGATCATTCATGTGGTGGGAGCAGAGAGCCGCTGAACGACGTGGACTCGCTTGTTGTCTTGGAATTCGGCCGACATGACTTCGTTAAGTTTGGGCAATTTGTCACTCGGATCCGTGGACAGTTGGGGACCTTCTGGATTAGAGCCTCTGGGATCAGTGTTTGCGTTGCACAGCGGCCACGATTTCACCTGAGAAGGTATTGGGAGAGTTCTTGTATCTGAAGCTTGAGCCGAGAGTTATGAGTTCTTGAGCGTACTGTCCTTTCTCGCAAAAGTTCACTTTTCCAGATCTGAGACAGACTATTGCGAGACTTTCGAAATTTCACCATCGTTCTCCGAAGTTACTGCCAATTTTGCAACGACATTAGCTTCCAATTTTAGGTGTGATGCTAGGACGTGCATCTTGTAGCCGCAAAGCGCAGCGATTCCGGTGATATTCGGATTCGGATTGTTCAGCTGATAGATGCACAGCATCGTTAGATTGATGAACTAGCTTTTCTGATTGGGGGTTTACTGAATTGACCTTTCTGTGAGGGAGGATGTTCTGGCGAGAATTTTTGTTGGTCTTCAGTAAGCTGGCTAGCCTTGCCATTGTCGTCGAAAGTGTGGAAGGCTTTTTAAGCTCTGTCTGGTTGTTGCTGGGATCCCACTGTCAGTGCCCCGACATTGAAATTTAGTGTCACAGAAAGTCAGGGGGTTCATGTTCTTTTCGTGTGCTTTCTTCGTCAGAGAACCCCGCTGGCAGGCCCCACAAAACTACACTTGCAACCGACCACGGAACGACATGGGTCGGATTCACTTGGAATGACCGAATGCACGGAACACTGTCCTGTAGCCTTCTGCTGCGATAGATCTTCCAGTGCATAGAGGAATATTGACGACCCTTTTTTGGTCCCAGTTTAGACTCTTGAACTTCAATGCCGGCCCTTTTCTGTCGAGAACCAAGGATTGGTCGATTGAGCTTTTCCTCTGAATAGGGTACACTTGTGCGTAGGAGCCCTTCACGCATGTGAATCGCTTCGTCTTCATAACTTACTTTTGGTGATTACATCAACCGGCAAGGATTACTGATGCTGGTCGTTTTGACGAATTTTGGTGTCCACAGTTGCGCTGTTACGCTTTGTGCCGTGAGTTGTGATGAATTTGTCATCTGACGTAGATTCTGTGCATGGTGCAGGTTAGTGGGTTCGAGTTCGTGTGATTTTGTGTCTATCAACCGGATCTCCGCGTATGGGCTTTGAAACTTGTTCGTGATCCGCTCACTTTTTTCTGGAGGTTTCTATTTCTACAACCACGACCAGGTTTTCTATGTCTCGTCGTAAACTAGCTGTAGCTCACCAGGAGAGCTTGCTAATCGGACATTCAAAGAATGCCCTGATACGTGGACATCCTTCGAGTGATTTACAGAGGAATGGTTTAATCGAACATTCCTCTAGCGACCTACCCAGGAATGGTTGTAATACTGGGGAGAATCAGGCGGTGAACGGAGATACCAGCGAACTGCTAACGAACGGATCACCAACTGACATTCAAATTATGGTCGAACAAATTAGCGACGTCCAAGGGAGCGGTGCTACTAGTGAATTGACCAAGAGTGGTATGCTGAAGGAGAATCTGACGGCTGGATCTGCGAGCGACCTGCATAGGAGTGGGTCGCTACCTGTAAGGGGCACATTCGTCAATGAACACTATGGGAACGATCTGCAGAGAAGTAGTTCATACACCGAAGGAACAACCAATGGACACGCAGTAGCCCCTCTGAAGAATGGTACCTACAGCGTGCAAGTTCCGGGAACGGACTCCAGATATCAGGATTCGGTCAAGCGAGCCGAACAACCCTCACCTCCTACCCCTCCCCCATCTCCTCCTGTCACCCCAGGAACAGTTTCTCTGCCCTCATCTTCCATAGCTCGGAAAGCCATTGCGAACAGGTCCGGTGGCAATCTTTGTGTACCGAAGGAAATTGTGGATAATTGGGACAAATTGTTCTTCGAAGGGTCTAGGGCAGATGTCGAAGTACATACTGAAGATGGGGGCATCATACCTGTACATTCACTCGTGTTGGTAAGTTTCTTGAGGCCCTATTGCAATATCCTCTCTTTATTGACCTAGCAGGGAACTCAGCATTTCCATCCTCGATTATAATCGATGAGTGGATCACCTGTTCAAATTTGGTTAGCGGGTAGTCATGTTGTAATCTGTGCCGGAAGGTCTAGGCAAGAGAAATTCTTAGTTGCACCATTCGAACTGCTCTCGATTGTCATGACTTTAGGGTGCTTTACTCTGAGGTACGTGTGTGTCTATTCTTGTCACAAGCTTTTAATACCTGCCTTCTGAAGTTCGTGTTTGAACACTGAATTTCACAGGCATCCTCCTCACCGGTATTTAAGGGGATTCTGGAGGACGATGCGAGTAAGGCCCTGCCTTACCGCATTTGCATGCACGGGGTACATTACGATGCAGTGAAGGTCTTCTTACGGTTTCTGTACTCTTCACGGTACGTTGTTACCATCCCACTACTTTCAAACATGAAACATCTTGCTCTGAAAGGTGTGACAGTCTAGAGATCGTTGGTCTTGTGATGTGTTCAAGTAGATTCGTGTGTTTAGAGTTCGCGATGTTGGAAGTATCATAAAGTGGACACATAATCAGTCATTCGTTCACTTGGGGTTAGTACTGAAGCGCAGTACATTCGGGCAACTAGTGGTGTGGCCCTTTCTTAATGAGTGCTGTTTTAAACCTGCAGATTCGAAGAGGAAGAAATGGAGAAGTTTTGTGCAAATTTGCTAGTGCTGGCCCACGCATATTGCGTTCCAGCGTTGAAGCGCCTCTGTACACTGCACTGGGAGAAGGGATTCTTGAACGTCGAAAATGTGACTGACATTCTTCAGTTGGCGAGGTTGTGTGATGCACCAAGGCTCCACCTAATATGCAAACGACTTGTTCTTGCCAAGTTCAAGACTGTATCAACCACGGAAGCCTGGAGAGTCATGCGAGCATCGAACCCCCAGCTTGAACACGATCTTGTCATGGCTGTTATGGAGTCCGATTACGTATGACCCTTTCAAAGACCTTGAAGGAGTGTTATTAGATTTTGTCTATTGCTAGTGCTAGGAGGCGGAAGCTAGGTATGCTTCAGGAAGAAATCAGGTCCGCAGGTATTAGAAAAAGCCGCATTAAAGGCTGAAGTCACGAAATGGAGAGACAACATGCTCAGTTTGTTGTTGCGTAAGGAGGCTCAGCAGGTGTCAGGACTTTTAGTAAACGTCCTAATAGTTTGTCGGTTTTTATCGCATTGTGGCTGTTAGAAGTGCAAGGGCGTTGCAAACTTTTAACACCTTTCATGTCCCGCTGCTTTTGCAGAAGAAGGAAGAGAAGTCGCGTAAGACGGAAGAAGACAAGGTGTATGAACAGCTGCATGACGCCATGGAAGCTCTGGTTCATATTTGTAGAGATGGTTGTCGCACGATCGGACCTCATGACAAGGTGTTTGATGCCCAAAAGCAAGGCTCTTGCCAGTATCCAGCGTGCAAGGGACTGGAATCTCTCGTTCGGCATTTTGCTGGGTGTAAACTGAAGGTTTCAGGAGGTTGTATTCACTGCAAGCGGATGTGGCAACTGCTTGAACTGCATTCACGGATGTGTCAAGAAACATCCTGCAAAGTACCTCTTTGTGGGTAAGCCCTTTCATCCTTTCAAAGCTTCCCACCCTCAAGCTCCTCTCCGAATCCTAAGTTTTTTCTTGCCGTTAGCTACTGTTGTGACATTTCCATCACATCTGTTCGAAAGCCACCCTTGCTTGGTATATGCTGCAGTCGATAGGGTCAGAGTCTGAACATGAGTAGATTCATGAATTTGAACATAGAATTTTTTCATGAATGTAGATTGGCCTGTTTCATTCACCATGTGCATGCCCTCGTTGACTGTATCTCAACTGGTACTTGCAGGCACTTCAAAAACAAGATTGGGCAGCACCAAAACAAACGGGATGAAACTAGATGGAGGTTGCTCGTGAATAAAGTGGTCTCTGCAAAGCATGCCACATCTGCTTTTTCTCTAGCAGCCATGTCCGCCAAATTGGAACAAGTAGGATAACTAAGCTGACATAAGTGTACTATAATCGATTCGGGAACTTTGCCTCGGGCTATTGAGGCAGAGAATAGGTGTGAGTATACACATGTATAGTAGTGAATGTGGTGGCCGTTTGCAACTAGCCCTTTGGGCGCTTAGTGATACGATACATAATGTCTCAGCCTGTATGGGCTGTTTGACCAAAAGTTTTGCTAGTAAATTTGGAAGGTAAGCTACCCATGCTCATTTTCTTCAAAGCTCCTCACTTCGAATGCTGAGCAGGAGGTGAGAATTGTGGATGTACCATACGACTGGATAGAAGAAATCACTGCTGTTTATAATACACCATTTGGAGATGACGCTTAACGCTATCTTGGAGGCATGCTCTCACTGCAGACACTGGAGTTCAGGATGGATCTTTACAGCCAAGATCGAACAGTAGAAAGAATCGGGTGGCGTGGATCTTTGGTGTGAGCTTGGCCCTTGTTCTGCCCAAGATTGTACAGGTGCTTACATGAAGGAGCAGTGCTTCATGTCCATTTTCCACATCCTCGGACCGCATAGTTTACGAACGAGGTTAACGAGGATGTCATACACGACGGGACCGGAATGTCTGTTACCTCTGTTACAAAGTTTGATGACTTGGGAAGGAAAAGAATCAGGAAATGCGATGCGGTTTCCGTATTGTAGTCATTATTATTGGCATTGGAGGAGCATAGCATAGCCGACTCATGGGGAACTAGGGGCCGCCGACCCAGGATACGTTCTTTCTCAAAGCATCGCAGGAAACTCCACGAATTTAGAGCAAAGTCGTCCACAATTTTATGTAGAACTCTCCGAAGGGAAGCTTGGCCCAGGACTGGTCACTTGTATCTATGTATGGCAGAAAAAAGTAGAACTATGTGTGCATTATTTGCACGTCGAGGATAATGGAAGCTACTCACTTTCAACCTCGTCGTTGTAGAGCAATTTGGTGAAATTTCTCTAGGAGCCTTCTTAGGACCTGCCCTACACGGAGGTTAGAGCCTGCAATAAATGGTGAATTTGTGAAACTGCTTTGTCCCTGCCGTTCGAATCTCAGCAATGTATGATTATTTGTTTTCCTGGAAGTTTGGCGTACTATTGATTGTCAAGATCATTCGGGTAAAGTTAATCGGAGGGAAGAAAGGTGAACGTCCTCTAGACTTACTTGGTCAATTACAGAGTTTAGCTTGTGGCAGCCTTGCAAGGCAGTATATGTTTTTGCTCAGTTGTGCCGAAGTTCAAATCTGTGGAGTCTCCCAAAAGAAAAATCAGGCAAGAAACTCAACAAACGTCTTGTGCTGCAAAGAATAGAATGTCATTTCCTCTTGCGATCACGTCTCTGATTGTTCGAAGTAAGTCGAATCGCAGCGTTCATGATCTTCGTATATCCGACTCACAAGTGCCCAAGAGGCGCCGAGTTAAGGCTTCTCTGCTGGAGTTCGTTCGATCTGTGTCCCTCTACTACGCGTACTAAATGTGTTCCGTTCGAGAAAAGTATGGATGCCAGAGATTGCGGAAGAGAAGAAAGAAAATCTAGCTGGATGCCCAATCCGTCAGTCCGTGGACCTTTCCCATCAGAACTTTACCATGATGTGCCAGAGTGTCTTCTTCACGATGACAATCCGCGAGGCGTGCATGGCCACCAGAAAACGAGCGGCGCCCCGACGCTGCAGGTATTGGAGATACTCGAGAATCTACCATTGCAATAAAGATTGTCACCAACTGGACCAAACTTCATGACGTGCGTGCGTGTTCGCTCGCGTATGACAGAATCAGAGCTCCAGTGACGTCAGAAAGAGGAGCGAATCGGGCCCACCTTCGTCCACATTTCTCACCGCGGGAATTTCCTTCAGGACAGACAACCTTCTGTTCCTCCGATCCGATTCCACCATATCACTCGTTTGTACCGAACATCAGACTGCTGCGAAAGACGTCTGAATCTCCTCCACTCCTCTATTCTGTCAAGCCTTTGACATTCCATCGTGATCCGAAATTCCGGTAGAATGTCCTAAAGAATGTTTCCCAAGCTCAGAGACCTCGTTGTGCACTCTGCTCCTCGTCCCAACGACGACGGAACACAAGAACACGCCTTGTCCCGTACCTGTCCTCACCGTCATCGTCGGTCCTCCGGGAAAACGCCTTGTGTTTCTCCTCCCGGTTTAATACGCTGGGCGCACCGTTGGTGGCCGGTGGCCGGTGGCTCGAAGGACGTGTTCGTAAACTCTGACCAGAGTATAGAAAGTAGTAAAGAGTACCATGCAATGTCCACGGCGTAGCGTAATATTAGAAACATACTTTTAGAATCCCATTATGGAAGAAAATTACGACCCCTGCTTAACACAAATAGATAACGAGAACTCATCACTTACAGTTTTTTTATCTCACGTACAACACACCATCACAAGTTTTGAACTATATGTTGTGGGCTATAGTTCGGGGAAAGAAAGATCATTCAAGATTCGATTTTCTAACTTGGTTGCAAGTTTTGCCAACGCAGGAACAACTATCACCATGCAGAGGTAGTGAAACTGATAGTGTTGTAGCACTCATGTATCGCCTATACTTTTGTATAGAAACAAGTGTTGCTGGGTCCTAGAAATGCCAAAGATGGTAGAAAGTGATGGAGAACCCTTATTCAGCCGAATGTTCTTGAGCTCTATGCTCATGGGCCTGGAGTTGTGGAGGAAACAGGCATTTGTTTCCACTTTACTCCGGCTCTTCTCACATTTTTTAGATTATACAATTTGGAACAATTTCCTCTATGCACATCATAAGTCTGAATTATGATCCAGTCATTAAGCTCCCAATTTCTTGATCTCTTACACTAGTGACTTCAATCCGGGAGAGATAGATGACATTCACGCAAAGTTTGACTTCCCACTTTACCGAATCTGCTCTCAAACTATCGTTGAATGAATTTGATATGTGAAACAGACACAGCAACTTGTCAATCCCATTCAATGCATTTTATGCTGAATTTGAAAGATCTAGGTCTGGCACGCACACTTGGTGATCTCTCTAGAATAATATATTGGTACAACAATACCCTGTCAGTTTATTTTCTGCAGGTTGAAGTGTTGTGTAACACGTTCAACAAATCTTTGCAACAATTTGCGGGCTACCCTCATCCCCGCTCCTCTCCTGCTTGTTCCTCCTCTTGGCTTGCTGTCCACTTCTAAACACCGCTGTCTATGTTAGAAATCACCGTAGGTTGATATTAGAACATTGGTGACGTTTGGTAGGATCCCATCGAGTAAAATGATACGCGTTAGGTCCAGCAAGCTACTTGTGTTACACAGGGTCCCATCAAGCAATTCTCACAAAAAATACTTACTTGTGGGAATAGATCGAGATGGCCACAAAAAGTTAATCTCAAAATATTGACAACAGCAACCCAATAAGCAGCAATAACGCAACGCAATAACTGCGTTCAGGTGCGTTACACTATAATGGATCACTCTAAGAACAAGACACAAGTTGTAATTAAAACTTTGTTTCTATTCATAAGTGAAATGGAAAATACATATTTTATTGTGCAATTACAGAGTCAAATAAAGATAAGGCTGCTCTTTTTATATGATTGTAACTAAATGGATCGAGGAATAGGTTTGGAAAAGTATTTCGTGTACCCACTTTTGGCGAATGACGTAATACTTTTTTGTCCATTCATGTTTTGCATGCACTACTCATAACAAACTATCATTAAATACTTTTCATTACCAGAGGTTAAGTCCATATTCCCTTTGACAAATGTCACAATGTAGGAAATTCACCCACAAATGGCTACGTGTAGTCAGAAAGAATAACAAAGACACGTATAGCGATTGGAGAATATAAGAAAAGATTGAAGGAGAAAAAGAGGAAATTTTCCGTTTGATGGAGATGAAGTGTAACATACAAACATATGGTCGGATATATTGGCAAAACTATGCTCAATATGTGAAGGAAATGAATATATAATCATAAAAACAAATAGACTAGTGTTGCAGAAATACAAGAACTATCATTTCATCATATAGTCAGATTCTAAAAACCAGGCTCTATGCATCATGAATTCAATGCTAGTGGTGAAAAAAATGCTAGTTCTTGTTGATTATATGAACTTATATTTTAAGAATAATTGCAATTATGTAGTCAAGTACTAGAGACATTTATTCACAGAATACAATTATAAAACTTGCATTGAACTAAGTGAATGATGATAGGAATTCGTTGATCACGAAAATGTAATTAATTTTTTTTTGAAAAAATAAACAATTAACGAAACTTTTAGCAATTGAATACTTAAAATACTGCAATTTATTTATTTATTTATTTATTTATTTATTTATTTATTTATTATGAAAGAAAATTTTTCTCATTGATGAGTATATCACACACCTACAATTCAAATCACAAATGTCATAATTTAAAGATTTTAAAATCAATTTGACTTTAATTTTTTCATGTCATATGGAAGTTTTGACAAAAGTTAAATAGACATCTATTTGCCAGAGCTTAATTTTTTTGTAGTTATTGTCTTATTGAAATTTATTTCATTTTTTCATTAGATATGTTTTTTAATCACTATCAAATTTTCAAATCAAATGAGGAGGAATATTATTTTTTCAAAATTCTTTAGTGATAAATCAAGTGTTTGTTACAATTTAGTGAAGAAAAATTAAGTTTGTTTGAAATTATGTATTTTTTAAGATATTTTTTATATTACATATTTAAATAATATGATTTTAATGAAATTGGATGTTACTATCACAACTTTAAATATATAAATTAATCATAAAATCTTAAACAAAAATGAAAAATGTATAATTTCAAAAAAAAATATCTGCTGTTCAATTTACATAATCAAATGTCTTTATTCTGCTTTGATATACCTATAGTGATGGATGAAAACTCAAATTTTGAAAAAAAAACCAATTACATCCAGTTTTTTCCACAGAAGCAAAACATACGAATATTTATTTTCAAACTGCAAAATAAATATCAATAAAAAATGAAATGACTGGACATATCTTTATTTGTCTTAAAAAAGTATTTTCACAACAATTTGTTTATCACATCCAGAAATGATTTTGACAGAAACCAAAAAATTAAAAAAAATTGGTGGTAATACCAACAATTTCAGATTTCATTCATATTCTCATAAGAACTGCAAAGCGATCAAATAATCTCACAACAAGTGATATCATAAATTAGTCGTTTTACTTTGCAAATCATTTAAGCTGTGTATGAAATACACCACAAGACGATATATATTTGAGCATTTTCATCATCCCGATATCTCAAAACCGATCCATCCGATAGACTATTCATCGTAATGCACTTTGATACTTGACTTCTTGAAATGACATATTACTATTATTTCAAGTTCCGCTGAGCTGATTTATGTCGTCTATCATCTGGCACCCATGTAACTACTTACCATGGTTATCATATAGCTCTTATTCTTGGAGAAAACCTAATAATAACATGTTACCCAGTGCATGTTAAATTTACTCTTTAAGTCCTACTATAGCATGAAATATATCCAGTTATTCTTTCCTATGCGGATCGACCCTAATCCACCAAAGATTTGAGAGTCTAATATAGATGTCTACGTCATTCTCACCTTACATACAGGATAACAATCGATTCACGAAGAATCGAAAGCACATTCGGTTTTCTTTAGGCTATCCCCAGGCTTCGTGTCGGCATCCAGTTCCTTATCTTCTATTTATAATGAACGACTGACTCTACTCGCGAGTGAGTGTTCTGCCTAATTCTTCCGCAGTCTGAAATAATGAGAAACCTGCCGACCAGAAAATATTCCTCGTTCCATATTTCTCATGTGACCTTGCGAGATACCGTTGGAGGTATTCTTCAGCACTGGATTGAAGTGGAAGAATCGCCTTACCTTCGGCAATGCGTGAATGGTTACGCGGAATTGCCGAAACACGAGCATTCTTCCCAGCAAGAAGGATTGCAGTTGGATTATGGCTAAGGAGGCTGTGAAAAGCATTATGGCATCAAGCATTGGCACATTTGCCAGGGCCACCATGAACCTCTCAATGAGCGAATTGACTTGTGTCTATGAATCCAATGTGCAGTTCCGTAAGATGGCGAGGCTCACTGTTGGTTGGTTTGTCACTTGTTTCACGAAAGTCAAAAAGTCCTTTCAGTCCGTAACTCTTGTCAAGTACTACATGTCCCTGTCCACGAGGTGCCGAGCCAAATTCTTACCACAAAAGACAGTATTTTTGAAACTACGATTCCAGTGAGCTCGAGCATTTAGGCAAAGGATAAACGTGAAAGGACGATTGAAAGCGAAGGGAACTTTTGGCCAAGTTTCATCTGTGAAAACAAAAAACAGATAAACGTGAGACTTAGAAACCACGAACAAAAGCATGAGGCGAAGCTGGTATTAGAAAACCGAGTTGCAGCAAGCTTCACAGAGACTGGTATGATCGCAAATTTGAGTATCTCTCGTATCGGTACACGGTACTTGAAAAGGACTTGAAATATACGTCAACTTCAGTGCTCGTTCCCTTACACAGAGATGGTGAAGGAGATTGTCACAAACAACGTGCTAACCTACATACAGGATCAAAGATCACCCCTAAGGTCGAATCGTCATAGCTGCCGTGGAGCTCTTCCTGTGGGTGGCGGTAGCCCAAATCCTAGGATCGGTTTATTGACGTATCTCTAACCATATGAAGGTACCTTCGACTGTCTTCGGGTCCATGATCCCACTGGGAACGAGGCCAATTTACGGAGAAAATCTCGTGCGCTGAGAGCGAATGTCGATTTCGGACACTCGTGAACACAGGACGACCCAATTAGAGATTGGAGCCCAGAAACGAACTTTGAATGGTTAGTAGCATCAAAGTAACAAGTGATCCGTCTCACAGGATAGGAAAAGGGGATCGGCGGTGCATTTGCTCATTCCTGATAATGACCTTCAGCTTTCATATGTGAGCGACTCGTCCCGGGTGCATCTGTCTGCAGTTTCGCACAGGTTTTCTCCAACAACAGTGCATATTTCTTGATGCCTTCACAAGCTGTCGTGTTTAACCAGACCAACGGGACCCACCACCACATGCCGCTTCTGCGTCGGGTAGGAACATCAGCAGCATATTTCTCTCTGAGCTGGTAGAGACTGGGTCATGTAAATCTTCCATGGCCATATGAAAGTCTTCGAGTCTCCGCTTCCCTCTGTGAGAATCGGTTCATCGGGATCTCATCCGCATAGAACAGTGAAAGAGCATCTCCAATTCAGATTTTGAGCAACACACCATAAAGCTACAGCAACTTTGGTGATTATTAGATTCCCAGGTTATCCTTAATGCTCCGCTGCTTCTTGTGCCCTTTAATCACGACGTTCACAGAATCACATCCCCTGTTTGTCAATTCCCTGTCTTTGAATTACTGAAAGGGTCGTCTGACTCCTCCTAACATCCGGGACGGGAGGTGGGACGGGAGGTGAGCAGCAGGCAGCCAGACATGTCGACCATACCTGGAGCAATTGCACACAACCATGACTTAATCATGAGACAGAGAGGTTAAGGCTCCTGTTGAGCAGTCCATGGATTGATCAACAACAACAAGCGAAAACAATGTCTACCAGTGCGCTGGATCGACCGTACTGGAAGATTCATTTATGCGAGTGTGGATGGGAACTGTGAGGCTTGAATGGCCGAGCTCTGCCTGTAAAAAGATTTTCCTGCAGCTTATGCCAGAAGGCAAGTAGCCCTACCGCGTTTGTAGCGGTAGGGCTACTTGAATGAATAGAGGAGTGAGACGGAGGATGAGCAATTCTCACGTCAACAGAGATCTCAGGAGTTGAGAAAGACCTGAAAACACTAGTGAAAGTCTGTTGCCAGTCTTGCCAATCACAAGCTACCTATTTCTACGTTCAGGCACTTGGGTTCTGGAGTTCTGCACCTGGGGGCACTAGACTGCTGCTGCGGACTCCAATATTGACTTCTCTAAACGAAATTGGAAGAAGAAGCCTTTAGATGGACTCTTCTTCTCCAGCATACGATCAATCATGACCCATGAGCCCCCAGCCCTGGCCTGCCTTGTCCACCTGCTCCTGCTATAGGCTCAACACGGTTGAAACCCCGGCCACAATAGGCAACCTGGTCCCGTCCACGTGGTTTTCTTCGAGACCTCAATTGTCAGTGACAGAGCTCGGTGAAATTTCTCGTTTCCCAGCCTGCGTTCCACCTGGGAGGCTTTAAAGCTTCGTTGAAGGTTCCGCCATACTTACTTCATTACTATCTTGAGCTATCCCCTGAACTGAATCTGCTGCTGTTCGTCCAAGTTCTTCCCCTTTTGAGAGATGTTCAGCTGTAAAAGCCACGTAGATAAGGATCTGCCTTAGGCTCTGTCCTTTTCCACACCCTCCCTCTTTCTGCTCTCGGTTCCTGTCGTTGTTCCACATCGTTAATGGTGGTTGTTTTTGAGGAAGAAGCGATCTTTGGCCCAACGGCCCATGCTTGATTTGGACGAATTTTGATCGATTTCAGCTCTGACCAATCTCCAGTCAGAGTCATATTCAACTTGGCGACTAAACATCATGGAAACTGTGGTAGATCCGTTCTGTTTCATTTCCTTTCCTTTCCGAGATGCAGAGGACTTCGATTGGGTCTTGGGATTGAGACAATTCAATTTTCAGATGAGACAATTCAATCTTCAGAGCGCTGATTCTGTTCTGCTGGTGCTGTGCAGGAGAAATCCAGTGAAAAATCTGAGGCAATGGACGGTACGAAGGACCCTGCTCAAGTGCATCAAGATGAGGTCGACGCGCTAAGAGCCAAGGTCAGGTTCTGTCCCCTCGTCTTCGTCAGCTTATCGCCTGGGCCTGGGTCTGGGCCTGTTCACTGCGACCTCCGTCTAGAGAAAGCACCCTCTCTCTCGAAAACGGAACACGTGTGCTCTGCCATCGCTTTTCCCCGTTTATCATTCATTGGTCGTCCAATTGCCGGTCGTAACAATCGTTTTCAGATTCGAGCCAATTCGGAGACACTGATGCTCGTCATCCCAATGAGAATTCCAATTAATTGTCACTGGACAGTTACAATTAATTAGAATTTTCCTTGACCTTTTCGCACTCCAGCCTCTTGCTCGCTGCCAGAAGTGCAGCTCCAGGAAAATTCGCACCCCTATCAATACCCTCATGGCACCCACCCGAATGATGGTTCAGCGTCCGTTGGTTTTCGTGCAATTCAAGCATCTGTCTGTATACGTAACTTCGTTCTTCTTTGATTCCCACGCAGACCTTCTATCACCTGATCACCCTCCTAAAGTTTTAGACCTCGAAGCCGAATTGGTACTTATAATAAAGACGAAGAAAACTTACACTCTGTATACACTTACACTCGGAATACCATGTTTTCACTCGAGGATTACAGCTCTCGTTGACGAGGATGTTGGCCTCACTTTCCATTCCGTTGAATACGGGGAGTGTAAAATGCTTTGACATGCACAGCTCGCTCGTTGTGTTCCAGAATGATGGCGTATCCGGGTAAATAGACATTTGGAGTGTTTGAAAGAACTTGCAGTCACGAGTATGAGGTGGAATAATGCTTTCTTTTTCAGCAGACTTCACTGCCATTGAAGCTCTTCGGACTGCATGTGCAGGTGGCGCAGCTAGAGCACGAGAGAGATACGCAACGAGATAAGAAGCTTGCGTTCAAGGTGCAGGCCACCCGCCTGGGTGATGCTCTTAGAGCTTGCAGAGAGTTGGCACTAGAGAAAGGCTTGGACTTGAGAGGAGTTGGAGTTGTGGAAGAGAAGGCTGCATCAGAAGCTATTTCAGAAGATACAGATGCTGCTGACACGTCGAAAGAAAATGGTAACAGCTCCAAGGCTACGCCAGCATTGACAGCGTTAAGAGCTGAAGCGGAGAAGCATGGCTGGCTGATTCAACCTAAAATTGTGAGTTGCACTTTCCTGAACTTGCACCACCAATGAAGTGTAGGAATAGAGCTTGCCATGGTCCCTCCGCTTTTTCAAAAATCGGTCCAGAAGTTTCAGCAATGCATTCCGTCTGCAGTTTGTGATGAGCTTCGTCGATTCTATGATGTTGGTGGCAGGTGGAGTTGCACGAGCAACTTGGGCATGGTGCGACTGCAGACATTTACAGAGGTCAATGGCACGGCTTAGACGTTGCGGTGAAGTGTCTACGTCCGACTTGTTTCGGGGAAAACATGGTGATGATGACAAACTCTGAAGATTTTGGTGTAATGCATAAATATGATTTGAGAACCGAGCAGATGACGATGACAAGGTTCAGAGTCGTGCACATTATTTTTTCTGCATGTCTTCTTTTACTTTCTTCGTATCTTGTATGTATATGAACACAAAGTTGGCTGGTCGTCGCAGGAAGGTGTTGATGTGTTTGTTCGAGAGGTGGAAGTTCTTTCTAAACAGAGGCACCCTTATGTTTTGAAATTGTATGCGACCGTCCTGTCTCCTCCTGAGCATGCGTGGATCATCACCGAGTACTTGGCAAAGGGTACCTTGATGCAATGGCTACATGGTACCAAGAAACGTGAGTGGAAGAGAATCATTCCTCTTCCACCCCTCATTCAAAGACTCCAGATCGCCACAGAGATCTCCATTGGCATGCAAGTAAGTGGTTCATCGAGCACACATCATGAGACTGATAGTCTCTGGCTGCGTTTCAGCTTCTATCCAAACCCATTGACTCTCTGAGATTCTTCACCTACTTGCGAGTTAAAAATCATGGAAAGATCTTACTTCGAGTTTTTTACGCTCCAATCCGTTCTGTCGAGAAGAACTTGGGTCCGCGAACTAACTCGTTGTTATTGTTGTGCGGACAAAAGTATTTACACGGGCGAAATCCTGTGGTGATGCATCGTGACTTGAAGCCCAGTAATATTTTTCTGGACGAAAATCTCCACGTGCGAATCGCTGATTTTAGTTTTTCACGCTACAAGCTTTCCGACAAAGAGGTCTACACCGGCGAAACAGGTACGTTTCAAGTACATTGTGTTGTATGCCCAGATATCCTCGTCCGGTACAGATATTTGTAGAACTTTCCTTTAGTTTTCTAATCTGTCTTCATTGCGTCGTAGCTTTGAAAGGAAAATTCATATGTTTGTGCTTCAAACTAACTGAATCTTGCTTTCCAAACAAAGTGAGTACCAAGTGAGTACAGTCCTACCAAACTTGAAGCAATTATTACTTTGGATGCTGTATATGGTGTGGCCTTCACTTCAGTTTGAAGTAGTGCTTCCCTCACATAAGCAGGCAAGATTGTGAATCTGGCTTTGGCACCCGAATCTTAAGAGTAATTTGCAATTGAGACTGAGACGAGCAGATGATTTATGCATATAGGTACATATTTATACATGGCTCCGGAAGTCATGAGGCATGACTACTACGACGAGAAATGCGATATCTACAGGTAGTGGACGGCTTTGTACCATCTCATTCAATTCCATTCTAATACCTTGCTGTTGCTAAAGCGGGCTCTAACCTGAGAGTCTGGTCTTCTTCAGCTTTGCCATCATGCTTTGCGAGCTCGTGACAGGGCATCCACCCTACATCGACGATTACATGACACCTGTACAGGTGAGCTGGTTTGCTACACGGCTAGCATTCAGGACGCCTTGCTTGGAACACTGAACATATGACGGGAACTCTAATGCTGAAATTGCTTCAAACCATTATGGACTTGCTACCTTATTGCTACATTGCTACAATATGGACTGCACGGGAATAAACATTAGAGTGCAAAATATCTATCGGTGGCATGATTTTATATTACAAGTCATATCTTAGGCGCTCAAATCAGCTGCAATGAGCCCCTGTGGATTCACGGGTGTCTTGAAATCGTATGGCCTGACTGGTTTCTCGTCTGTGTACTGAACTAACCAGTATTGTCGGATTGAAATGGCAGATTGCTTGTGGAGTAGCCGATGGGTCTCTCAGGCCAACGATTACAGAGGATGTGAAACCACCACTCAAAAGCTTGATCACGAAATCATGGGATCAAATACCTTCGAAAAGGCCCACCTTTGCCGAAATCACAGCCACCTTGAAGATAGCAACCAACGAGGCGATTCAAAAGGCCGCCAACCCTGAACCTGTCGAACAAAGCTCAATTCGACATGTACATGCCGCCGGGGAACAAATACATGACTTCTTCTCTGGGTTCTTAGGCAAGAATCATACTATCACAACCCCTCCATCCAGCTAATGTTTCGAGAAAGCACCCGTTCCTGTTCCACATTTGTGTGAATATGTGCTGTTGAACTCGCCATGCTGCAATGGACCCTTGACAAGTGTATATATCTCGTGCTTCAAAGAGTTCAGAGCAGTAACTCACGGTGTGGAGGGTGAACCATCTCTGTCTTTTTCAGATTACATATACTGAAGAGCCTGGTACATCAGTTGGGGTCACACACTCTTGTCAACCTTCTCTGTCGATGCACAACTAGTGGCTTTCACAGTCCGGCAATCCGATCAGCCCGTCCTGTCCGTGCTTCCTAGACAAACCTTTCTCCCGTCGAAGCTCACAGAGGTGTCGAGATCTCGGGAAGTCAAACCAAAAAAAAAACCGTCTTTCTGTACAGAATGTTGCTTCTTTCTCTTTGGCAAGTTTGTTCAAGAGGTGGAGAGAGATCTCGGATTTGGCCCGCCTCCGTCCATCTTTCGATGTGTACACATACATGCATATAATAAAACTCAAAGCTTAAAGCTCACCGAATGTCGTTATTGTTGTCGAATGTTAGAACCTCCGACAGAACAGGTGGTTTAAGTGATCTGGCTGCATCGACTGATGAAGAAGGCAATCTTCCTGAAACAAAATATGTGACTGAAGTTGTGCTTTCTTTTATGCTTATGGGAGAATCTTAACGGAAGATGAAGATAGGTTGAGAGCTTCGGGGACTTTCTAAGAGCTGTTAGACAAATTTATTGAACATGACCTTAGATTCTCAGCGCTTTACCGCTCCGTAGCTGCTTTGTCGATCAGAGGATTTAGGGTTCACACGATTAAAATTCATGCAGCCAGCTAGTGGCACAGCACGGCACGGCAGTCACTTCTGATAATAAGAAGTCCACGGAATACTGAGGGAAATAAGAACCATCCCTGTGATCGAGGCCTAGCCATGAACGATTATTCGGTATGCAACTTCACCTCAAAATCAACTCGTGCCGTTCATGAACGCGATCAGATCGACCTTAGCGCCTATAGCTCCGTTGCAGATTTAGTGCTCGAAGTTTTTAACCTTTACAGGACTAAAATTCATCCTGCCAGCTTCTGGGATCGTTCCACGGACACGGCAGTTTCTTCTAAACCTCAGGATTCCCGAAGTGTTTAACGTTGACATTAGATCGTGTTCACCGTTTGGTGTAGGCGGGAAAGTGCTTGCTGTCTCTTTTGAACACCACGGATAGTGGTTTACTGTCTCACATGGTACAACCTCCATGCCCGTCTCTTGTCCATGCAACCCACTCTCAGTACGCTGAATCACATGATTGAAGAGCTCTGGAATCCTTGTTTAGTGTAATTGGTTGGTGCTCCAATGAAGGAGCGTTCCAAATATTTGAACAAGCCGTTTTTGTGTCCCGCACACGGTATTCTTTAGTAAAAGGCGAAAGAATAGTTCGCTCTGGGCTGAACACACGGCTGATGAGTTTCACTATTGAAGATCGAAGAATATGAACCCCGCACGAAGGCTTTTGACGCGCACACCGTATGGGTTTATTCGCCTGGCGGTGGGCCAATAAATTTGCCTCACGCACGAAACACGACATCGCTCTGGAAGCTCGCCATGAATGAAATGAAACCACATACTAGAAGCGAGTGCGCGAAAACACAAAGAATCAAAAGGTGGGGCGAGAGAGGCTCGAACTCTCGACCTCCGGATTACTCGTCTGCTATGAGACCGACGCGCTAACCAACTGCGCCACCGCCCCGATGTCAATGTTGATTGAGACAAGAGATATAATGCTAAATTAGTCTTGTAGGATTTTTGCCCTTTCGGACTGCCTCAGAATTTTCCCACTACTCTGTGATGACAAGCCTTCCATCGGTTTCTCTATTCCCCAAGCTCCACGAACCACCATCTTCATAGCCTTTTACTAAAGAGTCAGCTCCTAGTGACAAGTATCGCCGGTTTTGGCTGGATTTTACCTCAGCCACGCACATGCATATATATCAAGTCACAACGCCATGATCCAACGTCAGCAGGGGTTTCTCACCAGGCCTGCACTTCCCAGTGAAGTTCCGATCACTGGTGACAATGAATGAAATAGTTTGCGCACATCGAAGAACTACAAGACGCAGACTTTGCATCACCTGGCTCGGTCTCACATTCGTCCCCAAGATCTTTTTAGTTCGGTCTCCCCGTAGCTTTATCTTCCCGGTGATTTAGAAGTCCGGTAGGTTCCGAGTTTCCGAGGACAGTTCATCTTGACACACGATTAGTCGAGCGAAGGGTTTAGAGTATTACTTTCTTGTGTCTACTAGTATGAAAACTTGTCAGATACGTATTTGTACTGCATATAATACACTAGGTCTGGAAGATAAATTGGACTTTTATATAGAGGTCTAGAGGATTTTTCTGCAGAGGTTCTTCACTTAACGTGGTATATGAGTAGTAACTTCTTTAAAGAATCGTAAAAGTAATTGGCTACTTTAATCATTTATATGTTCAAAATTATCTATCTATAACTCTTAATGTTAGCATGTGCCATACCTTTGATGAGTTAGTTACATGTTGTGCCTATTCACCACATGGTTAGGGGTTAGATCTATGATTTTGAGGTTAGCAAACAAAAGACATCTCGATTCTATGATTGAGGGCCAAGTGATAGTAATAGAATTCCCAAGCCGAAGGATTTGATCTATGATTTTGAGGTTAGCAACTGCATCATCTTTGATATTTTCTTCAAATATCTTGGATTTGACTAATTAAATGAGAAGTATGGAAAGTAAAAAAATTTGTCATAGGGTCATGATACAATTAGAATGACACATTTGGGAGTCAATGAAAAGAAAATACCTGTCAAAAACCTGCCAGTTTCTTACATCTCCTTCCTATCGATGATCAACGGTGGAAATATATAACCATAAATCTAGCATTCGACTTATCAAACCTATTCAATACATGATTGAAGAGATTTTATATCTTTAGCAATAATTTCATTTAATTGACGGAGTTTTCAAAGTATAAATCTCTTTTTCAATAAGCTCACCAAGACATGATGCTCATCATTATAGCATTATAAGTAATTTTACATTTGAGCTAAATTCACTTTGTACCTTAAAGAGTTAAATTTCTTTCACTCGCTACCAACATTCATAGCCCCACTTTCAAGGCCTCGAATTTTAAAACTGAATCCTCAAATAATCTTAATTTGAATCTTATCCTAACCCTAGACCTTCATATGGTTAACGTAAGTTTCCATGTAGAGATTAACCATACGATCAGCGTCAGATAAAATATATCAGCATCCATGTTCATCTATAACATTAACTACTGAGTCATGAAAAACTTTCTCCTGCATCCTCTGGCCAGATGTAAAGAGTAAAGTTATCAAAATTATTAAACCTCGTTTTTTTATCATCAACGTGATGAAATTGAAAATTTTAATTATATGAATAAATTATCTTATATCAATCATTATGATGATTTTTATTCATAATATAATATACATCAATAGAAAATTGTATGCATGTTAAAATATAATATAATTTAATATTGTATATATGTCAATGTTTTATCCAATTAGAAGTTTGAAACATTTAGATTTATAGATTTATTCTAATTAAATATCTCAGAAATATCTTCATTATGAATCAACACCATATGAAAGTTAAAACATATTTTGGATAAAAATTATGATTTGATCATATTTCATATTTATAAAAGTATAAATATAAAACCTCTACTAAAATAATGAATCTTTTAATGACTGATTTTTGTTTCAAACAATATATTATGTCCAAGATGAGGTCTTAATTTTAGCTTCCAAATCAGAAACAACCCACAAACGTAGTGTGATGTATAAAGTTTGCAATACAAATCAAAATGGTTAAAGGAGTCAAAAATTAAAATTTGAGTTTAGTGACCCTTTAAATCGAAATCTGACTTCGTTGCATAAATTGTATTGTAAACAACCACAGTTTTGTCTTTCTTATCTTCTTCTGCAATAAACTACTTTGTCGATTATTATTGTAGTATGATCGCGTAATTCTTGATTTGTCGTTCATCCAAGATTGAATTTTCATTCGTAATCGTATAGCAAAAGATTCAAGAAAGATGCAACAGATCGATTATATATGAAAAAAATGATATATATGGAATTTCAGTAATAGATTTTACTATCATTACGATATATGTAACATTGCATCCAAAAAATTCGAAATATATAGGTAAAATGAATTTGCAACAATAAAGTATGCTAAAATCAAAGTAATTGCTTTAAAAAGTGATCACTAGTCATACATTAGATAAAAATTAACATTTTTACAATATAAACGATACAAAATCCCATAGCTATTTGACAATGTTCACGCACACTTCTCATAAACATCTTAAAGTTATCGGTTAATCACACGTACGTCTTAACTTAGGATAACAAAGAGTTCAAATCTTTGGATAGTCATATACTTAGGTTATACAAGAAGATGTGTAATAATAGATTAGAACAGGATAAAGTGTATGCTAGCTGATATCGATGTGCAGATTTTATATGATAACTCCTGACCAAATTTGGATCTGATTTAAATCTTGGACTTATTAGACTATGCAATGTCGTAGACTTCGTCTAGCATCGCATGAAGACACCCTGACTTGCATCTTTTTAAGCCTTATTGTAATTGACGTGTCTTTGGAAATGGAAGAATACGAGGAGCTACGTTATGAGAACCAGCTCCCGTACGTACCGCGAATGGACAGTTCATGACTGCACAGTAGCCAGGCAAGCCATCCAGACAGCAGGCAGAGGCAAGAGAACAGACGAAGGCGAAGGTCAGAGGATGGACGGAATCTGCGGCCGTCTGACCCGAGGACAAGGCGTGGCTCAATGAGCACACGACGAGGGGTTTCTCTGCAACAGAGAGCTCTCGAGCTCCATCGTTGCGGAAGCTCGACTAAACGCACGCATACTCATTGCCACACACTACGAACAACAACAACAACAATCGCTTTTCGATACAACGACAGCGAAAGAAACGCTCACTGATTGCGCCAGCAGATTGGGGCGTTCGGCGGTCGGGTGAGTGGTTCCGCGGACGTCGTTCGTATTCGTGTTCGCTTCGCTGGAAGATCGATCGTGGACCACGGCTTCTTCTCGGCTCCATCGGACTTGACTTCCGCTCGTTCATTGCTGCGAGGACTCGGTGCGTAGATCTTGCCAGTTGGCTTGCTGATGCCTCCTCACGCCGGTAGGGTGAAGTTGATGATGTCTTGGTGTGTGCTCTGTCTTTCTGTCTTCGCAATTGCCGGCGTAGTTTGGAACTTTGGTCAGCTCGTTGGAATTGGTTTGATACATCGGGGTTTATCGAGTTTGGATGGGGTATACGCGCCCGAGAACCGGATGCGCACCAGATCAGGTGCTTTGTGGGTTATGCGCGGAGATCTGCAGGTAGAGGTTGTGCAGTTTAGGTCAGAGCGATTATGATTCGGAGGCTGTGAAAGGTTGGGAATGTGGCCCCGCAATGCCTGTTTGGGGATTTCACCGAAAGATGTCTGCATGACGGGCATCGACTGAGCTTAGAATCTAGGGTTCGTAGAATTCATGGGGTCGGCAATTTGGATGGTCTTATAGAGGCGCAACAGTTTTACATTAAGGCGTAGGAATTCAGCCAGGTTCCCGAACTGATGGTAGCTGGTGTTCGTCGAAGTATGTGTCATCATTCTTTCCTGGCACACTGGGAGGATCATTCTGGAACATATCACACGTAAAGGCTTTGGAATTGCACTGAAACTGGTAATAATTCGTAGTGCAGATACCAACAGAACTACGCAGCGATGAGGTAGTGGGAACCACCGGGAGCGAAGAAGAATGGCCGTGCTGCTAGACACCAGTTTGGGGGAGATAGTCATTGATTTGAGGACCGATCTCTGCCCGGCCACCTGCAAGAACTTTCTCAAGCTTTGCAAGTAGGTTTACGTGGGTCGTGAAGATGGATACCAAGCAGTCATGCATAACTTTTGCATTTACATTCTGAGCTTTGGAATCTAGGACTCTTCTCTGTTTTGTCGGTCTCACTTCCTGCCAAAAATCTCTCAAAATATGAGGGCTCTCGCGACCTTGTCATCTAATTAGGTTGGGAATAACTCTACAGGATCAAGTACTATAACAACTGCATTTTCCACGATGTTAAGAAGGATTTCATTGCTCAAACGGGTGATCCTACGGGCACAGGTGCCGGAGGAGATTCCATATACAAGTAAGTTCTCGATGAATATTTGGAATACAGAGATCAAGATCTGCATTTATTAAGCTGTAATTTGTGACTTCTCAACTGAGCTGCGGAGACCATGGAATGCATGAGAGCTCTAACAGTAGTTCTCGCAATTCCTGGTTATCTGGAAAGTACTTCCCGCATATACTCCGATATGCTGAAAGTCTATTGAAGCTCCTCTGAGCAGGGTGACCTGTTACAGCGGCAAGGTGTTTGCTAAACTTCCCGCCCTTGTCACTGTAGGATAATAGTAGCGGTATAAAAGCACTGTGCAATTTTCGCAAGTATCTCGTCTGCTTGAAACATGAAAGAATGTATACATCTCACCACCCATATAAGGCGCATGGTCCGTGTTTGTCAGCCCGTCGCAGGAAAATACTTAGAATCACAGTTTCACCTCCCATTGTCTGCAGACTTTTGTATGGTGACCAAGCAAGGTTCTTCGATGACGAAGTCCATCCAAAGTTGACTCATGAAAAGATTGGGACCGTTGCCATGGCAAGTGCAGGAGAGGACTTGAACGCTTCTCAGGTAAGCCTGACTCAGTGGGCAAGGTCTTGATTCTTTGCTGATTCGAATGGGGCCTTACGTCTATGAAACGTCTTCAGCTTTACGGTTGTCCTTTTTATACAAGGGCATTCCACCTAGTTACTTGGAGTGATCTATGATCTCTATCTGACTCATTATTTTGTAGTCCTCGGATAGTATTTTATCTGATATCAACCAGTGTACTTATTCACGTTCGTACTTTGTGCTCAGTTTTACATCACATTACGGCCAGGACTGGATTACCTTGATGGGAAACATACTGTAAGTGGGCTACAGAACTTTTGCCAGTGGTATAATCTTGGAGGAGTAATAGGATGATTTGTAACTGGTAATTTAGGGTTGATGATAGACAAAAAAACGCAACTATGAAATATTTCTTGATATTTGCAATATAATAAGATCAAGATTTTAATTCCTGCGTTACTCCCAGGTCTTTGGAGAGGTTGCCGAAGGACTGGAAACACTTATGCGGATTAACGAAGCCTATGTAGACGAAAAGGGGCGTCCTTATAAAAATATAAGGTACGACTACTGAAATCTGAGTCAATTGCTCATAGTCCTCCTATGTCCTGAGGTGTCATCTTACTTATGATCACCTGATTACATCGAGTTAACAGTATAGCGATGAAGCACGATATCATCCAGACGGTATTTGCTATTGAAGTTCAACTTATTTGAGTTGATTATTTTCGTTTGGTTACACTTTCAGACGTTGAATAAGCCTAGTGGTCAGGGGTCACTTGCCGAATTATACGAAGTTATTATATCCTGTAAATAGTAGTTTATTGGAGATTGAAACGCACACATTCATTTTAAGCAGCTAGTTTCTTCTAACCTCGAGACGTGTTGCCTCCAGAATCAAACACGTGGCGATTCTTGATGATCCTTTTGATGATCAACCGGGGCTTGCAGCTATGATTCCTGACAAGTCTCCTGAATTAAAGCCACCTGCTGAGGTGTGCTTACCTTTACGCCTGCTTCACAAGAAGAATTTTTATGTGTGCAAAATCATGTGATAGAGAGAGTAGTATTTCATGTTTCGAACTGCATACTTGATGAAGGAACTAGGGAACTGGTACGAATCCTGTTCATTTTCATTGACTCATTTGTGCAATAATATTCGTCTAAACATAGTTTGATGTTGTACAGGGTGAGGAAGTAAGGTTAGAAGATGATTGGGTTCCGATGGATGAAATGATGGATCCTGAAGAACTCGATAAGTCCTTGCGCAAGAAAGAAGCTCATTCGCGAGCTGTTGTGCTGGAAATGGTAAGGAGATCTATCTATATTTATATCTTATCTTAACCAGCCATCGATATTTCAGACTTGTCAGCAATTTGGGCTCTTTGGAAATGGAAGAAAGGATTAGGTTTTTTTTATGTAAGTTCTTATTTTGCTTATGGCATTGCCTAGCTGAGTAGCACTTTTCCATTTCAGAAAACTAGAGAAGAATTGTATGTAAGCATAATCGAGATCCCAGTATTACGATCATACCAATGAGCATTGTGTATCGTATGCTACCAAATGAAGCCGTGGGTCTCCGTTCTTTATATGACTTCTGTTTGTGCTTTAGATAGGTGATATTCCAGATGCCGAGATGGCACCGCCCGAAAATGTTCTTTTCATCTGCAAGTTGAATCCTGTGACACAGGTAAGACTTTCTATTGTCGGATTTACAGAGCATTAGATTACTTATATACTCACTGATCCTCAAAGCTTTTGTTAAGAGTGGAATGAGTGTATTACATCATCCCGATAGAATAGTGTATTTGTCAACTAGATGTCACTATCCACGATGTAAGGATTTCCGACTTTGGGGAGTGCAGTTTTGAGTTTATTTCAAAGCGCAAATTGTGATACTAAGAATCACAGGAATTGTTTCAAGTGGGGACTTACTGTGGACATTACTTCTCTAACAAGAAAAAATTACTGTAGTGGGGAGCATAGATGAACTATGAATACACAATCTAAGGTATCCCTATTAGAGTGACGAATGAAGCAGTCCCTCATCTTGAGATAACGAGTTTTACTTTGGTTTCAATCTGCAGGAGGATGATTTGAGCACACTATTTTCGCGATTCGGGAAGATAATTTCGTAAGGCCAGGGATAGGATCTGTCCTAGCCACAAATGTTGTTTTCTTTTTATTTGCAGCATACAATGTATAACTTGCAGACTCGCTAGTGAACTGCCCTGCTCTTTGGAGTTCATTAAGGTTTTATTACTCTTGAATTTACCTAAGAAAATTACGGGAGCGGAATATCGAAATACTACAATTTGATTGTTGCCTTGTTCAGTCTTTACAGTCATCGTCGACTTGAGAACGTACTCACAATTGTTGCGTGTGTTACACAGGGCCGATATTATTAGGGACTATAAAACTGGAGATAGTCTATGTTATGGCTTCATTGGTAGGTTCACTCATAAATGATTTGTATCTACATGTAACATGTCCCATCGCTCTAGGTGAAAGTTTTCTCGATGTTGGAATTGTGCTGGATCTCATTGTCTTTTAAACGGCGTTAGGGATCTCTTTCCTTATTCGTGATATTTGGATTATCTTCTTTCAATTATTATTTATAAACTCTTGGTTGCACGACAGAATTTGAGACGAAGGAAGCCTGTGAAGCAGCGTATCTTAAGGTACTATCTCGTTCTTCTTTGTTCCATTGTCAGGTGCATCCTGGATGCCATATACGGTAACCCTAGAACAGTCAATCTACTGGTAACCCCTCTTCGTTTGATGCCAAGTCTAGGCAGATGTGAGCGTTGTGAGAGTGAAGAATCTGTTCGTTGTATTTGATTTCTCAGATGGACAACGTGCTCATTGATGATCGCCGCATTCACGTTGACTTTAGTCAGAGTGTTGCAAAACTGTGGACAAGGTTTCGCAAATTTGGTTCAAAAGACACAAATGATCAAGGTTCGCATCTCACCTGGGTTCTGGAACTTTTTCTGCGGCTTTTCTCAATCAACTCGTGCCTTCATGGTTTTGCGCAAAACTATTCTCGCTCCATGCGTATCTCGACCGACTTCAACGTTCTAAGTGAGATGATGATATTTCAGGTCCGGATGCCACACAGAAAGGTAAAGGAGGTGGTTGTTTCAATTGTGGAGAATTTGGTCATCAGAAGAAGGATTGTCCCAACGGACCTAATGGAGCCAAAGGTGCTGCGCCGAATGGAAAGCCAAAATATACGTTAAAGGAACCAGCAGGGCAGCGAGGAAGTCCTCGAAACAGGTAAAGCCATGGGTTCTGGCAGCTGCGCAGTGTTGGGTCTATCTAAGAGGATGGTTTCTGAGGAAGTGTTCAAGCCCTAATATCTAGGGAAAGCTTCATAGCTTTTCGACAATAGTATGTTGCCGCTGATCATTCTGCATGTTTTCAGATTTGCGATTTTGACTTTCAACATTCTTTCTCGGTATTGTGGAGAGAATTTATTAGAAAAGTAAACCAAAGCAAGAATGGTTCGACACAGCTTCTGAGTTCTGAGGAAGGATCATACTAAGAGTTGTTGTTAATACACAGGTCCCGGATTGGGTTTAAATACTCAATCCGGGACAAGGGATGTAACGGATGTGACAAGGGATACCAAGGGACACACCCCCCGGGAAACAAAGGGTAGTAGTCACATAACAGTCACAGTTCACATAACAGTCCTAACTATAAATACACTAACTGCTCGAATGCGAACAGACAGGAAGTAGTAGAGAGTAAAACAGTATTCTAACACTCCCACTTACTACGTACTTACTTCTTCCTCGTTTCCAACTCAGATTTGGGTATGACACCAATTCCTTTCTCTAGCTACTTGTTTTGTCATAATATCAGCAATCATCTCTTGGGTTGGACTTCACCAAGTTACTATCGACTAGGTCCCTGACAAAATGATATCTAATATCAATGTGCTTTGACCTTTCATGTTTCTTCTGGTTTTCTACTTGTGCAATAGCACTTTGATTGTCGCAGAATACTGTTGTCGACTCCAGCTCAAAGCCTAGATCGTTCAATAATTCTCTGAACCACATAGCTTCAGCTCCAGCTTTGGACAAACCCATATACTCTGCTTCTGTAGAAGCAAGTGTTACTGACTTTTGTTTCTTTGATGTCCAACTAATGGTTCCACCATTGAGTTGGAAGCAATAATCAAAAGTAGATCGTCTCGTTTCAAGGCAACCTCCCCAGTCCGCGTCAGAATATCCAGTCAAACCGGATGGTTTATCAACCCTTGTAAACACAAGGCCAAAATCGAGAGTTCCTTTCAGACATTTGAAAATCCTCTTAGCTGCCTTCCAGTGTATGAATCCAGGATTTGACATGAACTGAGCCACTGAACTAACAGCATAAGATATATCGGGTCTAGTACAGACCATCGCCCACATCAAGCTCCCAACAGCAGTGAAGAGGTAAAAGATATACCATATCAAGCTGCTGTATGGTATATCTTTTACCTCTTCACTTTCTCCCACTGAATTGGGAGAGTCAAGCACACTTGACTTCAAACCGGGTTCCATAGGTGTATCAATAGGCTTACAGTCAGCCATGTTGAACCTCGCAAGTTTTTCAACCAAATATCGTGGTTGGGAGATCCGATTCCACCCTTCTTCACGATTTCTGTTCTGTCCACTTGCATCTCTTCGAAGTCCACCATATCGAACTCCAATTTAAGTTTGTCCTTGATATTTGTAAGAAGATGCAAGGAATCACTCGCCAGTATACAGTCGTCAACATATAGTGCCAAATACACAAATGCATTCTCCTGAGAGTATATGTAAACATTCTGATCTGCATTAGCTCTGGTAAATGCAATCTGCAGTAAGAACGAGTCAATCCTTTGATACGACTGTTGTGAGGATTGCTTTAGTGCATAAATGGACTAAATGTTTTTCTCAGAAGTGATATTCAACCCTTCAGGAAGGGCCATGTAAACTTCTTCATCTACTACTCCGTTTAGAAATGCAGTTTTCATGTCCATCTGGTGCACAGCCCAAATTGTATTGAGCTGCTAGAGCCATTAACACTCTAATGGATGTCATCTTCACCACAGGAGAAAATGTTTCCGAAAAGTCAAACACCGTAATCCTGTGAATATCCTTTCGCTACTAATCTGGCCTTGTATCGATCAACAGAACCGTCAGGCTTGTATTTGATTTTATAAATCCTTTTACAGTCAACGACGTTCTTGCCCGCAGGTAACTCTGTCAATGTCCAGGTTTGATTTTTCTTTAAAGAAGAAAATTCATCTTCCATAGCTTCTTTCCATTTGACAGAATCACCATTCTGTAAGGTCTCTTGATAATTAGTAGGTTCTTGGTGAGTCTCTCCATACGAAAATAAACCTCGATGCTTCTTCTTCTTTTCCAAGAGTTGATCATATCTTTCGACACGTTTCCTTACTCTTTCCCCCTTCGAAAGATAGGATCGATGGTGCGGGAAGAGGATGAAGCTGCCCCCTAGCTGTATCTGTAGCCGGGACCTCAGATGTACTGTCTTGAATTCTGAGTTCACCCAGTAAGTGCTCGAGGTTGCGAACTGTATCAACAAGAGGAGTAGAAGAGAGAGGATTCTCCACTAGCAATAATAGATTGCTAGTCATCTTCTTGAACGCAATAAAAGCTAGCACTAACAATAAAAGCTAGCACTAAGAGATTGCTATTTTGTGATCGCATCGAACCGCACAAAAGATCTATACTCGATGGGATCTATAAGCTTCTGCCTCTGGAATGGTCTGCCCTACAGAAGCAAATTGGTCAAGAAGTAGACGAAATTTGGTCATATGTTTCGCCACAGAATTGCCTATCTTCACTTGAGAGTATCTCTCAAGTGCATTTGCAGTGGTACGTCATGGGATTCAAAAATTGTATTCAGTTCAGCCCAGGCCTCTGCTGCTGTAGCATAGCGAGCAATCAATGGTTGTTGATGGTCGTTCAACGAGTTATTCAAACCCGCGAAGGAAATGAGCTTTTTATCATCCCATTCCTTCGTACTCCATGCTCCTGACGCAGGAGTTCTGGTTGTAGATCCAGGGTGGAGCGGTTTGCTGGAGCTCCTTACCTTCCAGGACGTCCATAAATTTTTCCACTCAACGGATCCAACTCATGTTGTTCTTCCAGGAATGAAAATGCTCCCTGTCTTAAATTTGGGGAGATCTTTCCATGCGACTCGTGTTGAAGCCCTGGGAGAAGTCAACTTCCAATACTTGATTGTTGAAGTTCTTAACAAAGTGACTACTGTGATTCACGTTCTTCAGGCTGCTCGTTGATCAACGGTAGCCAAGGCGCGCAACACAGCCCTGCAGGAAATAGCACAGAGAATTATTCATAGCAAGAAGCGTCCTTCAATGCTTTTCGAGATTTAAGCGTCCTTGAATAAAAAGAGAACCTGCTCTGATACGATATTAGAAAAGTAAAGCAATGCAAGAATGGTTCGACACAGCTTCTGAGTTCTGAGGAAGGATCATACTAAGAGTTGTTGTTAATACACAGGTCCCGGATTGGGTTTAAATACTCAATCCGGGACAAGGGATGCAACGGATGTGACAACGGATACCAAGGGACACACCCCCGGGATACAAAGGGTCGTAGTCACATAACAGTCACAGTCCACATAACTGTCCTAACTATAAATACACTAACTGCTCGAATGCGAACAGACAGGAAGTAGTTGAGAGCAAAACAGTATTCTAACAGAATTGGACTAATTTGTCCGAACGTTTTGCAGATACGAGATGGTGTTTGATGAAAACACCGATGCCTCTGATCCTGACAAGCCCGATGGTCGAGGCAACAGGAGTTATCATCCGAAAAATGAGAGGCCATTCAAGCGTCCATCAAAGGACGACGATAATGAGAAGAGAGCACGTCCGCGTTTGTCACCTAGGGAAAGAAACGAGGATAGAAGTTATCAGTCAGGAATAGACGTAAGGATGAGAGACAGGGATGAGCCAAGAGTGGATGAGAGGTCGAGAGGAAGAGAAGATGACAATGAGAGGAGGCCCAGACCACCTCCTCCTTCATCAAGGGGAAGGTTCGATGAGAGAGGTCACCATTCCGGGAGAGAAGAGAGATTCCGAGAGAGAGCTGAACCTAGACGAGATGACAGAGGCGATCATAGAAGAGACGACAGAAGTGAACCTAGAAGGGATGACAGAGGCGATCCTAGAAGGGACGAGAGATTTGATTCGAGAAGAGATGAGAGGGGCGATGCCCGGAGAGATGAGAGAATGAGGGAGAAGGACGACGGTAGTGAGAGGAGGCCTCGCCCACCTTTGCCCAGAGAAAGACCTGATGACAGACGGTATCCTTCAGGAAGAGATGATAGGCCGAGAGAGAAAGACGACGAGAGGCTGCCAGTGTCACGGGATAGAACGGAGGACAGAAGACATCCTTCGGTAGGAAACGAGAAGTCTAGGGAGAAAGACGATGATAACGAGAAGAGGCTGGCAATGTCGAGGGAGAGGACGGAGGAAAGAAGACAGATATCAGGAAGAGATGAGAAGAGCCGAGAGAAAGACGATGACACTGAGAAGAAGGTGCCGTTGTCTAGAACAGAGGACAGGAGATACTCTTCGGCACGAGATGACAGGCCGAGAGATAAATATGAGGATAGCGAAAAGAGGGCACCTTTATCCAGAGAGAGGACTGAGGACAGAAGATATCCGCCAGGAAGAGATTCCAAGGCACGAGAAAAAGATGAAGAAATAGAGAAGAAGGTCCTCCTGCCCAGGGAGAGGATCGAGGAGAGGAGACATCCACCCGGAAGAGATGAGAAGCTCAAAGATAAAGATGATGACTCTGAGAAGAGGCCATCTCTGCCGAGGGACGGCAGACCGGAGGACAGACGGCATCCATCCGGAAGAGATGAGAAGTCGAGGGAAAAGGATGAAGAGACCGAGAAGAGGACCGCATCGTCGAGGGAGAGAACTGAGGAGAGCAAGCCCCCACCAGGAAAGGATGAGAAGCCCGGAGACAATGATGAAGAGAGCGAGAGGAGGGGCTCTTCTTCAAGGGAGAGAACAGAGGAGAGGAGAAACTTAACAGCAAGAGAGGAGAAGGCCGTGGAGAAAGATAACGACATAAACAAGAGGCCCCAGGCTTCGAGAGAGAGAGAGGAGGAGAGGAAGTACTCGTCGGGAAGAGACGAGAAGAGCGGAGAACGAGAAGACAGCGACAAAAGGGTACTGCCGTCGAGTGAGAAAACTGAGGAGAGGAAACACTCCTCAGGCAGAGACGAAAAGTCTGGAGAGAAAGACGACGACGATAAGAGGGTGGCGCTGTCGAGAGACGGAGGTGAGGACGTCAGGTCCCCGCCAGTAAAGGAGAAGTCTCGAGAAAACGACGAGGACGATGAGAAGAGGGGTGCATTATCCCGAGAGAGAACTGAGGACAGTAGATACCCTCCGGCAAGAGATGAGAAGTCCAGGGAAAAAGACGAGGACCACGACAAGAGATCAGCCTTGTCTAGAGAGAGATCTCAGGACTTGAAGCCTCCTCCGGGACGGGAGCCTTCCAAGGAGAAGGTTGTAGAGAAAGATGAGGATTTGAGTCTGGCGGCGACGGATAGGAACGAAGATAGAAGACCCGAGGTAGTGAGAAGCGAGAAATCGAAGGAGAGAGACGAGGATAATGAGAAGTCGACGGTATCGCGCTCCCAGTATTCGAAGGATAGGAACGAGGACAGGGAGGGGAGGCCCGCTGGAAGAGATGACAGGTTCCAGAGAGAGAAGATGAGAGGAAAAGAAGATGTTAGGAGAGATGATCGGTCGAGAGAGAGAGACGATGATGTCGATAAGCGGGCACGCCCTCCCATATCATCCTCGCGGGATAGAAATGACGACAAGAGTTATCAGCCGAGAGAAGAGCGATTTAGAGAGAAAGGAGATTCCAGAAAAGACGACAGGTTTACCGAGAGAGACGACGACATGGACAAGAGAGGACGCCCTTCTTTGCAAATGAGAGACAGGACTGACGAGAGGAACCATTATCCTGGAAGGGATGATAGGGCTCGGGAAAGAATCGATGACGGTGATAGAAGAGCACGCCCACAGTTTTCATCGAGGGAGAAAGTGGAGGACAGAGGTGTTCATCCAGGACGAGATGAGAGGCCGAGAGAGAAAGATGATGACAGTGAGAGAAAACCTCGCACGCAGTTTTCATCAAGGGAGAGACTAGACGATCGAGTGCCCCAGCCCCCTCCAGGAAGAGACGAGAGACCTCGAGACAAAGACGAAACGGAGAAACGAGCCCGTGCGCAGGTGTCCTCGAGGGATAGAATGGACGACCGGAGTTACTACTCAGGAAGGGACGAGAGGCCTAGGGAGAGAGCTGAAGAGGACAGGCGAGATTATGACCGTAGACACAAGACTAGTCGATAAGTGTACTTTTGCCGTAAATTGATTTTTGCCAGTCGCAGCCCTGATTGAAACGATTTTTATGTTATTGATACAGTTATTTGACACTAGATTGTACCAACGCCCGATGCGCACGCACGAGCCATCGAGTTAAGCTGAGTAAAGCTGGTCTCTGATAATTTTTTGAACTCCACATTCTCCAAAGAATGATGATCTCATATGTTTTGGGTGACGACGACCTGTAGAATCTTTACATTCTTCGTACTGATGACATCGAGTTTTGCCTGAGCCCGAAGCTGTCCCGGTGAGAAGTCACTCACGTCGGATGACCAGGCAGGCTATCTCTGACAAGCGATTCGCTCTGTCTAGCTCAAGTCAAAAGACGGCCTCTCTTCGCTGTTCCAGAAATCGAGTGGTGCTGGAGAGATCCTTGAGACCTGTTCTTTATTTATTCTGCAGAATCCTACATGCATGAAGAGAAGGCTGGAAACTGTGACACCGCGGGCGTGCCCGTCCGTCCCACCGCCCGCCTCAAGCATCTGGTTTCGTACATTTTACGACATGTACGTCGTCCTTCGTCCGAGATTCATGTTCGACATCAGACGGAATTTGCCGCTTCTGCCCATATGTCGTTGTCACCCGAATGGGCTTTTTGTCATCTTCCTGGTAGTAACTTTTACGGGATACTACCTTTTTAGGTGCCCCGTGCGTTCGCCATTTGGTCTACATTCTGGTGCCGGACATCTTTTCCTTAGATCTTAATATCTGGATCGATTTCTCGTTGGCTGGAATCTCCACTCTTGTCTTTTACACCTTCCACCCGGAAGTGAGATTTCTCTTAGAATGTTCTGTTGTGAGCTCGAATAATCGGCCCGATCTCGCGCGATCATCCTGTTTCCCAAAATAAAAATCTTATGGCCCCTTTGTCAAGGAGTGCATCAAATTGGCGTATTGATGACTTCACGCACGAATTGTCGTTTAATTGTGAGATCCAACCCAATTCCATCTCATCACTTCTCGGACCTGTGCGACAGCTGAAGGCCATTCGCACCTCATCTCACTGATCGGAGCGCACCGAGAAGTTACACTTCGAGCTGGTGAGAGAAGAAAAGCTCGACACGAAATGGCACGTCGTAGTCATGCTCTCAAATCTCGGTTTCAGAAGCAGTGTTCCCTCCGAAAGTAGATTCATCGTCGATCTACATGAACAACAGAACACACGAGACTTTTATACTCGACGAACTGAAGTGGCCGAAGCTCACAACCTCTGACAATACCGCGACACAGAGACCTGCAGCTCGGGAAGCCTGCATCCTTTCGGTCCAGCTCGATCGCGAGAAGAGTGGACTGGAATCCGCTAAACACTCGACCTCACTCGTCTCATCGACGCATCGCGCACACGACGACGAGAAAAGAGCCGAACGAAGCGAGAGCTCGGGAAGAGACCGCATGCATGCATGCATCCATCGCCCAGCCAGCCATCCATCCATCGGAAGCAACAGGTTTTGGCATGTTTCGAGAGGGAGGGAGGGAGGAAGGGAGGGAGGAGGAGGAGGAGGAGAGCACAGACAGAACAGAGCACATGGGGATTGCCGACGATCAGATACCAGTTGACTCGCGGGTCGAGCTTGACTTGGACCCCAGTCCGATGCTGATATTCACACAGTGCTCCTCCTGATCGCTTGGCAATCGTAACACCCTCACCCTCAGAACAGAACCTGAGCATGGACGGGCAAACAGCCAGCCAGGCAAAGAGGCAAGCGAGCGAGCGAGCGAGGGACGTGTCGCACTCTCGAGCCGTGCTGATGTGACTCACGCAACAAGCAAGCAAGCGGCTTCCCATAATCTGGGAGGGCCTCCGAGACTTTCTCACGAGGCCCGGCCGGCCGTCCACCCCGACACCCCGTTCACCATTGCATGGATAAATGGAGAAAGCGACCTCGCCTCGACCGGATAAATCTGCCTCCTAGCCCCCGGGCCTGCTGCTACTGGCCTGCCTGCCTGCTGCCTGCCTGCCTACTTTTGGAGTGTCCTCACTCACTCACTCAATCACTCCCCTTCCCATCTCTTCGTATGCACCTTGCACCTCTAATCATCCGATAATCAGGTGGCGTCGAGATTTGCTTTCTACGAGGTACGAAACTGTTTGTACTTCCTCTATCCGATCCATCGCCCCGGTCTGTCTAATTAAATAGTTTCGAAGAAGGGGCCAGAAAGTGGGATCGGAGGACATGGACGAGTTGGAGAAGATCTCGTTTTTTATCACAAAAATTCATGCGCATCTGGAAAGCCGAAGGCCCGAGAGAAGAAGTTCATGAGTGGAAGAGATTGCAGATTGAGGGTCTTCACTTCATTACAGTCCCCACCATTTACCGAGGTTTTGAGAACCTTGGTTATTCAGTAACAATCGTATGAATTTATTTGGTAGAATGGTTATATTTCATGGCTATAATATGAAATATTTAGCTCGTATTTTCTGTTTTATATGGTGGGAAATCGGCATGTCTGCTGCGGTAGAACGGTTCAGGGGCAGGGGGACAGCAGAGTTTTCCTAGGATCACGGTGAGATGAATCCTGATACCCTCTCCTACACTGAGACTCCCGTCCACTTACTCGATGAGCTGCTTTTACTCGCCATTTCTTGACAGTTGGACCATGGTCGTTTTATGCTACTCATATCTGCTGAAGAACAAAGAAAAGTCGTGGATCTGGAATAACTTATAAGAATTCCAATCATATGGGGGTTCAATAATTGATTGAAGTTGTTTATGAGGACTTTCCATGCAGCTAGCGAGCGAGCAGTCTGACCTGGAACTCCTCCCTGTCCTTATCTTTCCTGAAGATCTGGACCTTGACTTGTATTAACGATACTAGAATCCAATCTCGAAGTAGACGCTGCATTTTGTGCGATCAACAAGTCGTACTTTTAGTTGAAACAATATGAATATATTTTTTTGTGTATTTTTTGTTCATTACTCTACATCTAGGCCAATGGATATCTGCCGAGATCTTTATAAATCCCGTCCAGGAAATCTTCACGCGCCCAATTCCTAGACTTTTAATCACTTCTGCTGCCTCTCGAGCATCTCGACTTCATAAGTCCGAACTTTTCTGACTTTTAGAAATACACTTCATGTGTTTCAGACAAGGCTAGGTATGTCATGCTAACACCCCAGCTAGATCAACGTGTCTACATAGCATCAACAGAACCTTCATGTATCGTACTGTAAAGGCTATATAATACACTAAAGAAGTTTATACCCATACTTTTATATTTTCATGAAAAGCAACAAGTTTCATGAACACTTGTCGCAATGAAAATATTCTCACATTTACTGCACCAATGAGTAATGAAGATGTAGATTGATGTACTTACCCGATACGAAAACTATTCTTTGTAAAAAAAGATAGTTGATGAGGATGAGGTAGAGTACATAAGTATAGATATCTTATGTGCAGTAAGGCAGAATTTCGATTGTGATGAAAATTTGCTAGGTCCTATCTTACTAATTATATTTTACTCAATTTCCATTTTTATGACGATTGGCCTAGCCCCATCTTATCATTTTTTTTGGTACGGGTTAATGGGGTATCTCTGTATAATTTGCAATTTACGTTGTTTGCCCATCAAGCTTCACCCGGCCTTGTCAATTCATGATTTTCTCTTACTGATCATGAACAAAATTATAGCTTGTGAAGGGATGCAATTATTATATCGTAGTTTGGTTTTGATAATCATATTACTTCTTTGAAAACCATGTAATCTTTTATAAAATTATACATTATAATTTTTCAATTAATTAAATATTATAATATTGATTAATTATTCAAATGTAAAGATAACCTCTGTCCTGAAGTCAGACAAAGGTTGAGACGCTCGATTGTGGCTAGTAACTCCACTAGGATATATTATTATGCTTGGGGTGTAACACAGATTTTATACGCTGTGCATTATGAAAATGGCTGGACTGGAGTGCCGCCAAAGACCTTGGGAAAACTCACGAGGTGTGATGGGCTGATGGGCCGGACAATGATTCCATCGGCACATAAATGGTAAATGACAAAGTAAACTAACAAAAGGCGTGTGAAACTAACCGCTAGGGTTTAGGGTTGGGGTTGGGGTTGCCTAAATCTTCTGTGCTTGGAAAGCAAACAAGCGAGCGATTCAGTGGAACCGGTGAACCGTTTGGAAGTCGCACAAGCATTTGTCGAATAAACGTGTCAAAGGTAACTCAAACATTATGCAATTATATTATTTCGATTTATTTCATACTATTCCCGTTGGGATCTCATGGATGTGCTTAAATTGGGAGCCTATTAATGAAGCCGAAGCAGAAAAATACGGAGGATAGAATAATCTGAAGTAAATCGAGTGAACTAATGAGTGCTCCGTGAAATCTCACCGACTCCGTCCAAATGTTGGGACCACTGAATGCGCTCCCAACCGGACGGACGGACGAGCGGACACATCACCCATTTGCTACATTCTCCTCATGACACCTCAGAATGGCCAATCGATTCGTCAAGACCATCCATCCACCGTTACCGTTGCTGGTCCTACTCTACACGAACTAGTCTACGGAGAAGCCAGACGAGTTCCCTCTCGGCTGCCGTTAGGTTTGACCACGGTCCGTTTTGACCGTATTGAATCTTTTGGACGGGTTGGATCGGCCGATCGACATTCTTCCGCTGGTGTGCACTGATGATGAGCCCGTTGAAGTTTATGAATGAATGGTATATATTGTGCATGCCCTGTTTAAGCCGTCGCCCGGATTAGCTTGTTGCTTTACGAAAAAGTTTTATTCTGTTGTAATAAATTGTTCTCCTCAGCGTATTGAAGACTGATGAGCAAATGATGAGACAAGACGTAACTCTGAGCAAAAATTTCCAAAAAGCCACATCCTTCCCAGAACTACATTCTGAGGTCTTAGAAATCAGCAATATGTTTCTTACTACTCTCAGTTTTCAACTATGAAATTTCATGAAAATAAACCCATATCTCAATAATCCTGCAAATGTATTCTACTCTAATCGGATGAAGCTCAGGAGGTGGTTGATTTATCATTTATGCTATTTTGGAAAACATTCTACATAATTTACATTTCTCTTACAATCATTTTGTCGCTTGTAGCTCAATATGTTATATACTATTGAGCTTTCAACACACCACATGATTTCTGTAACTACATATAAACAGGTATTTATCCTTTCTTCATAAGTCAAGTGAATTCAAATACCTGAAACAATGTATAGTGCACCGAACAACAATTTGTAACAAAAACGCAAATCGTAATATCTATAAAATGAGCTCCTGAAATTAGATGCAAAAATTTTGTTCATCCATTGTGTCATTGTGATCTGATGTTCGTCTTTTTATTTCACAATGCTTCTAACTCAGAGTTTGATTTATAAATCAAAATCATTGTGTCTTATAAATCATAGGTTCATCTGCAAACTTCAAATAATGACAGTTAAATACGTTAGTCAATTACGCAGTTACTTACAATTCGAAGTTATCAATATTTCATGTTTATATCTCAAATGCTGATAGATTTAATTAATTAAGTCATAATCTTGAGAAACATGTAATCACTTGTAGCTGTTTAGATTTGCACTTACACATTATTTCGTTTTCCTCACATTTAGTTATTCTTCATTGTCAGGTATACTCAATCTCCATGCAAGTAAAAAAACTGGTTTGAAACTGAAGATTCTTTTGCATATATACATTCCAATATATAACATACACTTTACATTAAAAAGGACATCAGAAATGAGATACCTTGTTGAAAATTACATGTCTATCCATTTTTTGAACACAAGTTCAGATATCAATTATAGCTTTTTTAGTTGTAGTCAATGCAATATTCTAATTGACAATAATAAAAAAATACTAATAATAATAATAATATATTTTGAGTTAAGAAAATTTTGTCTTTAGTTTTATTTCCATTTGATTGTCAATGAACATATCATTGATTGAATCTTAAATAATATTAAAAACTATTGAATACCAAATTTAATTCAAGTAGTATGTTACAACATGCATTCAAATTATATGCAGAGTAGAATATAAGTCATGATAGATCTAAATTAATTTTTTCTATGATCTATGATCATAGATCTATGATCTATTTGATCTATGAATGTATCCTAAATATCTGACATATTGAATATCTGAATGTTGTTTATATCATTGTGATGATTTACATTAGCTAACAGAACTCTAAAAATTAACGATGTAGTTTCAAATTTGGATTTGAAAATACAAATATCATCTATCTTGTAAGATTTGAACTATCATTAATTCTAGCCAAACATTCAAACGGGAATTATTATAAAAATCAGATAAAAAATTTAGATTTGTGCAATGCCATGTATCATAGTGATCAAATGGTTCAAGTTGTTTTACAAGATAAATAATATGTTTTTTATGAATATTACTACAACAAATTATTAATTTAAGATAAAGCCTTCAGAATATCATGATGGCTCATTAAAACTTGATAAATATTATTGAACTCTAGAGTTGTATATTTGTCAAATATACAAGCTGAAATGTTCCAGATGTACCCTTCTTTCATCTCAAAGATTTATCCTTAAATAACAAATTATGAGATAGCTATTATTCAATAAAACTTGGTATAATATATGTATTGGGATACTATTATTTATAAAGTAAAGTATTGGCATATTTCATGCAAATGTAGTAATACACTTTAGCTATCTCACTGACAAATCGATTTGAATATTCCTGAAATGCTCAATATATAATAAAGAAATCATTACAATGAACTATAAGATTTTTATTTGATGTTGATTGTAATTTTAAAGTGCATGAAGTAAATTTGAAAGCTATCATAGACTGAAATACTTTGTCAAATTAACTGAAATGTTGATTGAGGGGATTAATAGTTTAACTATCTTTTACATATTCTATTTTTGGAAGACTTGGATTTGAAAATTATTTTTTTGGAATTTAGATGCATACATTTGTAATCAACATAAGGTCTAGGTGCTACAGATATTATATTCTTAAGTAAACATCAGTAGATCTGATTGACAATAACTGAAGTATGAAAACTGAATCACTACGAAAAGTCTCTAGCGTTTTCATAAAAGTAACGTTCTTAATGAATCAATATAAAGTTCATATATATGAGAAGGATTATTTGATGTTACATGATTCAAAAGTGAATACATAGATCACGATGTGTTTGATTCGTTCACATTTAAAAAAATTAATTAATCCTTCTGATTCAATTCAAATTTTGTTAGTCCAAATTTATAAAAGAATTCAAAGATTGAGAATCTTTTTATCAAGAATTAGTTATAATAAAGCTATAGTCATGCCAGTAGATCTATGATGCTATCTACATTGCAAGAACACATACATTTGACATTTTTTGTACTATAATTATCATAGTAGCTTCTCTGATAATGTTTCAAATCGGCACATTTACAATTATATCTACCCTTGCTACTACTTTCACTACATTAGTCCTCGACATCTGCACAAGTTTATTCATCTGTTGCGCTTGTTTGATAATATTTACCATCGTAACCTCTTAAATCTATTTTTTAATATAATATCACAACACGTATGTTATATTTATCATCACTACTTAGCAATTCGATATATACTTACCAGGTTTTTCTTTCTTGGACCACAATTACGCACCAAATCACCTCTTTCATCTGCAAAACTTAAAGTCTAATTTGAAAACGAGTGGCTAGGATTTCTTCATGGAACCCGTGTTGGAACAGAATTTGGATTAATATTTTTTATTTGATGCATTTAATTCTTATTATCTTATTTGAAACCATGTTAATCTGATTATAAGAATGACACGTGATCTATAATCTATAACTTAATTTATAATCTTGATGTATGATATGTGAGAATCACGAGAAAATATATTCTACAGTTATCTTCTTTTGCTTGAGGCAAAAAACAAATAAATGGATTGTTACTCAGCGTTAGTTTGAATTTAGTTTTTCCACGTACAAATTTCAGAGTTATGAATACTAGTTATGTGTGAGTTCGTTTTTTCCTGATTCAGAAATCAATCACCAGCATGCATTCGATGAAAATCGGACATACCAACATGAAATCAAGTGGTGGTAGCAGGGATACATAAATGTGTATGACGGGTGGAAAAGAGACTGATACAAAGCCTAACCCCTGAACCAAACTTCGATTGTTTCCATGCACCAATTCACGCACACGGGAAATGTAAATGTAACTTCCCACGCGTTGTTGGGCAGTGATGTACCCTGGACGTCACTACTTTTCGATGTAATCTGTGGATAAACAAAGTGGTGTGGTGTTGTGGTTAGGGTTAGTATGATTGTCATGTGGGAATTCATGCTGGACAAATAGTCAGAGCAGGAAAAAAGTGGTGGTGGTGGCAGTCAAAGCAATTTGGGGTGCCAAAGTCAACAGACGTGAAATTTCGAAAACAGAGAGACCGGAGCTCATGATTCAGCCGTTTTTCCAGACACATCGGCGTTCCCATCTCCAAGTACAAAAGGCTCTCGATGTCATATCCCGGCGGACCGACGGAGCGCACGGTGCCATGTAATAACATGGCGGCACGACGCATCTCCTCACAACCGAAGCAGAAGCAGCAGCAGGAAGAACATCAAACCGTGAACCAGCCAACCAACCTTGACGCCAATAAATCGCGACGAGACCACAGACCTAATAACTCATGGACACGCAATAAAAACCAAAAATAAAAAATAAATGAACAACAAACAAGTGCCCAGTTCTCACTAGCATCACAATGGGAGCCAAACATAACATACAATTTTAGTATTTGAAACATGGAAGTCTATTTGTGTACAAGCTATAATTCATCCGCTTTAGTTGATTTTTTGATATGCAATCGTCAATGACCATGGTGAAGAAAAAAAGTCATGACACGAATATGGTTGAAATCCTGTGCGTTCTGAGGAAAATATAAAAAATTGAGAGATGGAATAGATGAGTTTATTCATTTTTCGTAAGGATGTAGTTGGAGATTTTGCGTAGTGAACATTGTAATTCAAGGACTAATCTCTTGGTCATAAACGAGGGAATGCCTTAAAGAGGCCCGAGTGAAGGTACTGTAATATCGTAGGCGCGAGGAGGGAAGGCGACCGAAGTGGGGATCGTGAAGGCACGCACGAACTGAGAGCTGGGCGGGTGGCGATGGTCGTCGCGAAGGCGAGAGCGGGGCTGGGGCATCGTGAAGGGAATCAGATGACGGCGAAGGCGAAGGCGAGGGCGGACAGCGGGCGGGCGGGCAAGGGACAGACAGAACGGACGGACGGATGGACGACGGGTCGCAGTGGCCCCGGTCCTGCCGGTGGCTTTGCTCCGACGAAAGAGGCCGTCATGCTGAGGTGCGTGCGCGAGCGCTGCTGTATAAAACCTGCATCGGCCGAGAGAGTGCGCTGCTGCCCCCCCGTCCTTACACAGATTTAGGTCTGAAAGCGAAGCGAAGAGAAGAGAAGGGGAAGCGAGCGAGAGAGAGAGAGAGAGAGGGAGGGAATGGAGTTTTGAGGGTGAGGCAACAGAAGGAAAGTCGAGGGGTCGTCGGGGGCGGAGGAGTTGTGTGTGACAGACAGGGAAGGCAACGGGGAATTCATGACGAGAATGGCTTTAGCTCGGAATGCAAATCGTGGTCAGCGACGGACGCCACGACTGTACACGACCGCGGGCGGCACCGGGGATTCGTTGCTCTCGCTGCCGTGTGTGCTGTGAGGAGGCGAAGAACGAAGCTTTCATCTTGCTCCATGGAGGAGTGAGTGTCTGGCAGATTTGCGCGGGCAAACGAGAATAGGACAGGATAGGACATGGTAGCACAGCACAGGGCAGGCACGGTCGAGAAAGGAAGGGAAGGCGGGGTGCTCTCATGAGGACAGGGCATTGATTCGTGCTGATGAGATATAATCGTTCGGATGCACGCTGTTCGGTTCAGGTTTTAGGATGAAGGAACAGCGGCGGATTTGTATACAGGTTGGCTCGTCGATTAGGCGGCATTGAGCACTGTTGGTGGTGGACCTTGTAGTTCGAGTCGAGGAGGCGTTTTTTTTCTTTTCTGGGAGGAGAGTTTTTACTCTTCCGATTGCGCACCAGCTCGGGGTATGGGTGATTTGCTCAGAAACAAATCGGCGTATGAATCTGACGATGAGAAAGCGGAGGAGGAAAATGAGGAAGAGGACGAGGAGAATGGGGAGAGGGGGCGGGGACGCATGCTGGGGTTTATGTTCGGCAATGTCGATGATGCCGGGGATCTTGACGAGGAGTATCTTGATCAGGTGCCCACCGCTTTTTCGAGAACTATCAATGCAGTGCCTCTTCGTTTTCCTCTCTGTGTTTCCGCGTGTTGGGATTTCGGGCTAGGTTACGAGACCTGTTCGAAGCCAGCATTCAATGAACGCACGGAGAGCTTGGAACCTAGCCATACGCCAGAGTGCCTTGGTCTGTTCGACTTAGGAAATCAAGCCACTACTGATTGCAGGAACAGTTCTTTGGATTTGCGAGAGCTTATTCATGTTGCGCTCGCTGCTCCGGGAGCCTGAAGTAGATCATATGGGCCCTTCCTCTAGTTTTCCACTTCTTCCGGGACCCATCATTAAATTTCTTGGCTACGCAACTTGTAGTTGATTTCCAGATTAATCGTCGGTGTTCAAACGACGATGGTATCATTTTAGCTGCGTCAGGGTCTTTAAGCTCATATTTTGAACTGTGAGACATGATTGACATATCCATATCCATTTTCTACAACAACGGGTTTAAGATTATAGAAAGGGAGCTGATCCTCCCACCCTGCTGATTTGCTTTCCCCACCCTCCCCCGTCATCTCACCCGCTCTCTTTAATTTTCACCACGGAGGTGGTGAAAATTATTGCCCCAAGGCCTTGCCCGGATTCTTGCACCGCCACGCATGAACCCCCTCCCGAGGCCACTTACGACGATGAGGCCACTTACGACGATGTCGATGCCTTGAAGTCTGCGTGCGTACAGCATGCTGCCGCTCATCTCTATAGCGTCACCAATAAGCGGCCCGATTACAAGTTGGACGTTTTATTGGCTCATTGCGGCGCCGGGGAAACGTAGAAAGGCGGGGAAACGTAGAAAGGTGTCGGGGAATGGGTAAAGGTGGGAAAAGCAAATCAGCAGGGTGGGAGGATCAGCCCCCTTATAAAAATAGCTGTTCTAGCTGGAGTCAGAAGGTTCCTACATTCACAATACGAGCACACTTTCACGCAAGACTAATAATGGTGCTTAGCATTGTGCAAGAATCTGCCTTCGTCTCTCGCTCAACTTTCCTCTTAACTCCTGGGTTCTAGGTGCCAAGCCTAAGCCGTTTGTTATTTTTTGGAAGACTACATGGTAATCTGGGAAATAACAGTCTACAAGCGCAGCCGCCAGTATCTCGCTCATTTTCCTTTAACGAACTACAAATCCACGTGGGAGATACGGACAATTCTTCACTTTAGTGAGCAGTATGCCAATACACGTCTCTTTCTAGTTTATATAACCTCTGGTTGTGTGAGAGTTGATCAATGCGGGATTCTATCATTTTCTTCCGGTACATGCACCCCAATGCAACACTCTTTCAAACCGGCAAGTGGATGAATACTTGTCATGAAAGCGATTTGTTTCATGCTGATTAACTTTGGGAAAATATATTCTTCATGGATCTGGATAGTCGCCAAGGAAACGAGCTGACAGATGTATGTTTCCTTGGACTTAGAAGAGATATTAGGTCCACGGACAAACTTTACATCCCGGAGTCCTTGAACGACAAATTTTATTGAAGCTCGTGGAAACACTAGTTGATAGACATTTGCATTTTTGTTTTGATTGAAGCTGATTGAAGCACTGTATTTGCTCGCCGTCTAACGCCCTGACCTTGTGGTTGGAAACTGGAAACAACAGGATGCGAAGGAGCATTTGTCTGCTTTGGCTGACCAACTGGGTCCATCTTTGGTGGATATGGAAGTATGAGTACCAACCTGAACTGGTGGATTATGCGGCTCATGTCGTTTAACTCAACAGTATTGTTAAAACTCCTTGTTTAGCTATCTGGTGTCATTTTCTACACGTGATCTTGAATGGTTTAATGTTCCTGTCGCAACGTAAGTTAAACAAGTTGTTAACTTTTGATACCACATGTTTTCAGCTTTCCGCAAAATGGAAGAGGTCTGCAGCTGGCAAAAATGCAGAGGAGGAGCAAGAAGGTACAGTCATCTTGATGGTTCGTTGTTAAGATGAGAACTGTAAGCAATGCCCTGAATAGGCTATTTACTTCGACAAGGACGGTCAGCACATGGTCTGTTAAGGGTGCAGTATTCCAAGTCTGGTCAATGACCAGGTTTTTGTATTGGAGACATTCAGATTACGCGAAGAAGGCGGAGGATGCTGTTGACTACGAAGACATTCAAGAAGAGTATGACGGTCCAGAGGTGCAGCTCCTTCCTCAGGAGGAGCAATTTTATGCACAAGCAGCCATAGCAGGACCTTCACGTAAATTGGCCGACGAGGACAATTACGATGAGGAAGAGGAAGAAGAACCTGCAGAAGGAAATGAACTTGTAACTGACGCGGAGTTAGTAGATGTGTCGTTGGCTGAACCTGAACCTGGTACGCCTACATATCTCTCAGCAGTATGTTACCTCATATTTCCATTCTAAGGACTTACACCGGTTGTTACGCTAGTTTGACTTTGGGGCAAACATTTGTGTCACATGTCATGTGTTGTCTGACTCATGAAGTTTTGCTACACCGCCTTCACATTCCAATTGTACAGAAGAAGAACCAGTGATTTTGCCTGTGGCAAAGGAGGGTGACTTAGCGGAGGCAGCCAAACTTGCTGAAGTTAGCGAAGTAAGAGAGGAAGCCAAGGAAGAAGACCTACAAACTAAGACTCCTCTCGTTGAGGTTTGACTTTCTTGATCATTTGATTTGGTTGTTTTCCTTCAATTTATTTATTAGATAGCATAGATTAGGATGTAGAAAGCTGAAAGTTGGCCTAACAGGAAACATGCTTCTGGGTTGAGATGGATACGTTGATGAAACTTGTTCTTTTGATTCACCTGTATATCTGTTGTTTACGTAAGCAGTTTCCCTAGTTCAAAGTGGCAGCTGAGATGTGTGAAGATTGCGAACTATTGTGCTTATGTTGTAGAGTGACGATACAAGTTCATGAATCTATGGTCCCGCCATTCACAAATACCCCGGGATCGTGCTTCTTTTGGATTTCATGCTTTCCTGCAAATTGAAACTCCTTGCAATTTCACAAGTCTTAATGTAACCTAGATCTGCAAGTTGCTTTTCCGTTCATCTTGTGATGAATAGACAGTGCGCTCCTTTCTTGATTTGGCTATGGTTGCTCTAGCAAAAGCGCCGAGGAGAAGGAAGGAGAATGGGGAAAGTGAGTGGGAAAGTGTATGAATCATATATGGAAACAGCTTGAGTTGTATATATTGAAAAGATTTTGAACCCAAGTTTCCTGTGTATTGGATTTTGAAGGAGGAACAAACCGGAACTAAGCCACAAGATGAGGACTCTCCCAAGATTGAGCTTCCTGTTTTATGTGAAGAGGACGGGAAAGAGGTCTTGTGGTTTTCCGAAATTTTTGGAGACAACCGACCTTACTATTGGTTGCAACTAGGAATAGGGGCTGGTCGACAAAAGCGACATACTCCCAGAGGTATTTATTTGCTTTTATCAAGTGATGAAGAGTATCATTGAAATTTGAATTTTTAAGCTCCAAGTGGAGTAAACATCTTCTGCGTGGGCCTTCTCAGAGGTTCATCTATAGTAAACATCTCTTCCGCAGTTGCTATATTGTTAGGCAAATCCGCGGAGTTGCAGGTATTTACTTGTGTACACTTTGGTAACTGTGTCGTTCTCACTGTAAAGCTGCATTTTAAAGCCTTCAGTTGGCTGTATCTATTTCACAGAAAAAGTTGAATGGGCTGAAGAAGAGGATGAGGCTCTGGAAGAAGATGAAGAAGAGGTCTTTAAATCTTGTCCTTACAGGCACCCCACAGGAGATGATCTGTCAAGTATCGAAATTGACAAGGATGAGGATGATGGGGTAGAGGAAGAAGAGCAGGAAAGCAGCGCAGCTGAAGAAGATACTTCCGAACCGTCCCCTGAAACCGAGGGAGAGCTGAAGGGTGGTGCAAAGGGAAGAAGGTTCGAGTTTTACTCGTCTCAAGCAATGAAGGGTGGGACAAATGACTGGGAGGAGTTAAGTCAATGGAGGGATAGTATACCGTCTGCCAATTTCGTTGCAATACATCAGCAAGACTGGGAAGCCAACATTTTATGGGACAAGGTGGAGAATCGGGGAGTTAAGCTTAGAGAATTACGGAGTGAGGAAGAATTTTCGGAAGGATCTATAGAGGTGGAATCGGAGAGTGACGAGGATATGATCTACAGTAGGATTGGACAGAAGACATCCCGGCAGAGTCAAAGAAATCCTTTAGGGATGTCGAACGAGCCAGAGAGATCTGTTCTTCAAGAGTGGAATAGGCCTGTAACAGTTGAACCGCTTAGTCGTCCCCATTTAAAATCTAGTGAGGATGCCGAAACTGCTCTGGAACACCGACATCCGCAAATGTTAAGGTTGGAGTCACTTTCAATTGACACCACACTACCCGACATCGAAGGGAAAGGAGAAGGTGACACAAGTGATTTAGGGAGTCGTCTGAACAAGTTGAGCATGACTTGTAGTCAGAAGAATAGGGAGCTGGCATCGGGATCGTGGTTAGATAATGTTTTGTGGGATCACGATAGTCCATCTGGGGATCTCAATTGCGAGAGACCGAAATTTATATACGACCTCCAGGACGGCGAGATGGTCTTTGAGATTCCAAACAATAAGTGGGGACAGACGCTGCGAGTTCATGCAGCAGCTGTGGTACTTTCTCCTACCGGTGGTAAAGATGGTGGAGTTGAAGGCGGGGAAGTTGTCATGCATGCTGCATCATCCATAGCTCGCTTCAATATTTCTAATGATAAATATTACACCAATAAGAAGACTCATCAACAGCAGAAGTCTCATGCGAAGAAGCGAGCCGTTCATGGAGTGAAAGTGATGCATTCACTTCCTGCAATCAAGCTGCAAACGATGAAGCCGAAGCTTACAAAGTACAGACTTGCGACACTTCTTTGTATCGGTCATTGTCAAATATGTCACCTATCCATGCGTGGAATAAAGCTCGTGTGCTTTCCCTTGCTAAGTACTTCATTTGATCAAGTGCGGGTTATCTTTGCTACTCGATCTTGTGTACTGATCTATGAGCTCCTCAGTGTTGAAACTACGAAGTTACAACCTGGTGGAGTGTCTTGCTCTTTGTTTTTCCATGATCTGTCTGGATACATAATTATAAACATCAGTTCAAGATCTGAGTCAAGTAATTGAATCTGTGTGAGTATCTTGATTTTGAAATTCCTTGTCCATCATCAAAATAATGTGCTGTACGCGAATCGACCCAAATCCTCAGGCAGTTCCCTTTCTGCATATCGAATGCAAGAAGGTTTTCGGTTTGTGATGTGTAAGAGTAAAGAACTATGTCTGGTTGCAAATTAAACCCTCAGAGTTGTTACCCACATGTGGCTTCTTCAGCTGAACCACCTCTGACATTGGACCTGACGATTTTGGTCGAAGAGGTTGACTCTTGTTTGGGTGTATCATGGTACATTGAGAGTGGCCCTGAATGTACTGTGGAACTTTCTGTACAGAGTATTTGTCTCGTCAATGTCTGTTGTATGTAGTCACGCATACTCTTGGTTTCATCAGTTTGAATGGAATTATCTCATGTAAATTTTGTTTTTGCAGCAAGGATCTGGCGAACTTTCATCGCCCAAAAGCTGTCTGGTATCCTCATCACAACGAGGTGGCTGCGAAAGAACAAGGGAAACTTGCTGTCAAAGGCTCCATGAAGGTCATTTTGAAGACTTTGGGTGGAAAGGGTAGCAAGTTGTATGTTGACGCATCAGAGACTGTGGAAGTCCTCAAGGCTAAGGCTGCCAAGAAGTTGGGAGGTAAGGTTATTCCATGTGTCTCATCCGTGTATCATAGATCGTCTCGTAGAACAGTCTTAGAGTACTATCAAAGAGGGCTGGTTAAGGTCGTAGGCGCTGATGACTGTCGATATCTATGGAGCTCATGTCATAGATTGGTGGGGCTTTTGGTTGGTATAGGATTCTTACATACTATCTGGTGAACAGATTTGAAAGCCTCAGAGAAAACCAAGTTATTATATTCGGGGAAGGAGCTGGAGGAAGGGCGGACTTTTGCAGAGCAGGAAGTGCCGCCTAATTCGGTGTTGCACCTTGTGCGCACAAGGATTTGTCCGTGGCCTAAGGCTCAGAGGTTACCGGGTGAAAATAAGCCTATACGGCCACCAGGGGCTTTTAAGAAGAAGTCTGAGCTCTCTGTCAAAGATGGGCATGTTGCGCTGATGGAGTAAGTCGTACATGCCATTCTGTGTTACTAGTAGTTAAGTCTGAACTTCCAGCACAATAATTTCTCCTACTCTTGGATATCGGAGTTTTCAATCTACTCGTGGATTGCCCTTCGACGCTTTGCCCTGAAAAAGGAGATGGTATGTCGGTCCAGTATTGTACGGGAAATTGATTTGAGTAAGTTGTAATGGAACAGATACTGTGAAGAACGACCTCTTTTGCTCAGCAACGTAGGCATGGGGGCACGTCTTTCGACCTATTACCGGAAGAGTACTCCTACTGATACGACTGCTGCGACTCTGCGCAACGAGAGAGGCCCGTGGGTCGGGGTGCCCTTACCCTTAGAGCCAACGGAAGACTCTCCGTTTCTCGGTGACATCCGACAAGGGGATACGGTGTCCAGCCTTGAGACCAACATGTATAGATCTCCCGCTTTTTCGCATAAAGTTCCACATACAGATTTTCTCCTGGTCCGTTCTGCAAAAGGCAAACTGTCATTGCGGCGCATTGACAGTCTGCACGTTGTTGGGCAGCAGGTGAGTTTGTCTATAGTTTCTCGATGCGTGGCGAACAAATTGTGAAATTACAAACTGCAAATCGCAATTGAAAACGAGCACCGGTGAGCTTGTCAGTAATTGCTTTATGAACTTCAACTCTCAAGGCTGGAGATACATCCCTTGAAAGCGCATATCAATTGTGCCGCTGTTTTTCTTCGTTTGCAGGAACCTCATATGGAAGTGTTGACACCTACTTCTAAAACCGTGCAATATTACATTGGCATGAGATTGTTGGTCTACGTTTATCGGGAATTTCGAGCCAATGAAAAACCTTCGTCCGTTCCACGTGTACGAGCTGATGAATTGATTTCCCAGTTTCCTGCACTAACCGAGGGTTTTATACGAAAACGCTTGAAGCATTGCGCCGATCTTCAGGTTTGTCATATGTCCGGAAGACTGCTATTGATGCTTCTCTATCTTTTGATTGTGTCGGCATTTCTGATAACGTGACGAAAATTCGCCGCATAAAAATTTCACGCTAAGCGCAGATATTTCGTATTGTTCAACTTGCTCTTATCCGCTAAGCAGAAAGGACCTGGAGGGGAGATGTGGTGGGTTATGCGACGTAATTTTCGAATTCCATCCGAAGAAGAGTTGCGACGGATGGTGACTCCAGAAATGGTTAGTTGAAGAGAAGCTTGCCATCTGCATCAAGCGCTTTCGTTGATGCCTCTTGTCTTTAGCAATACTTTCGTTTGATTGGTTGTGATAGGTTTCTTCATTTAAGTTCATCATCTTGATCGTTTCACCTAGCGCATTCATCCAAACTTTACCCCATTGACATCTTATCACTTGGTTGTTCTTCAACTTAGTTTATATGTTCAAGGTTGCACGATAACGGAGATAACATATCTGTTCGTTTTTTTGTTTTCTATATTAGGTCTGCACGTACGAGAGCATGCAAGCAGGTCTACATCACTTAAAGCGCATGGGAGTTCAAAAGCTTACTCAACCATCCGGTTTGAGTGCCGCAATGAATATGCTTCCAGATGAGGCGATCACACTTGCTGCTGCTTCCCATATCGAGCGTGAATTGCAGATTACACCTTGGAATCTAAGTTCAAATTTCGTTTCTGCAACTCTTCAGGTATATGCCGGCCTGCTTAGTCTAGTCGGGCGCCTAAGTTACTTAAATCAGCTTAATTTAGTCGCAAAAGGAGACCTTAGTTTAGGCGGTGTTTAACTGTGAGCTTTATTAAGCATTTAGAATGCATAAAATGGAGCCATGTGCAGTTTATGAGCAACAGACCTTTCGTTCAATCCGTACCAGGCCTTTATTCAGGTTGTCAATCACCATGTTTTGAAATCTTTCTCTGGATTCCCCTCCTGTTCAATGTTACGATGCTGTTATCCAGAACTGACAGTAGCCCAATACGATTTATGTTACTATTAGCAATCAACCACTACGAAGGAACTCTAATTTGCCATCCGAAGAAACCTTATCTATGACTGAAACCTTCAGGTTATCTCTATAAAATCCAGCACTCTTATTTGTCTAAATCCGCCAGCTCAGGGCGCACCTAGGACATGTCCTTGAATCTTCGCAATAATCCTCGAGGAACAGTTTCGGTTCTCTGTAGGTTCTTAATGTGTAAACTTACAATCAAGGACGCACCTGCTCTTTTTCAGAATAATTTCATCAGCATGCTTCATATCCAACGGGAAGTCATTTGCACTCTTAGAAGCGATAGAGCACCTCCCTCTCAATCACCAACCACGCAACTCACCACATCCCCTTTTACACTGCAATGGAGTTCAATATCCACTCGATTCATAAACGCTAGTGCTTGCATTAGGCAATTCAGAGAAACGTTCTGGTGCCATCTGATATGCCTGGTCTAATATGCCCCCAGTTTTCTCTAAAGGTTTTGATAGAAACTGAACTTGGATGCTTTTGTGTCTACCATATTCACTGTCTACAATAGATGTAGCTACGTTACTGTTATTTAGACTGTAGAGTAAAGATGTCTGCATAAGTGAAGGGTAGCATAAGTAGGGGCGCTCGCGTAGTCTAGTTTAGATAGTTTAGGAGTCTTGGCATACGAATGCCTACATTAAGCAGGCCTGGGTATATGAAGTTCTTTTACGTCTTCTGTGACAGGCGTGATATGCAGAGATGCTTATATTAGGCAGTAGCGTGAATTACCTAAACTAACTTGATTTAGTTTAGGCGGGAGCCAAATGAATGCTTTTTTTTAGCAGAAATAAAGCACTCACAGGGTACCAGAAATAAAGCACACACAAGGTATCTGAGATACCTTGTGGATGGACTCAAGGTGGCCATGTAAGTCCTCAGAGGGCCTGATGACATAGTGGAGGAGAATGAATTTAGAAAGGTTTTTGTCCTAATGATGGGGGATCAAGGGAAAGATCTGAGAGAAATGTAAATTTATCGTGGTCCAGGTGGCAGCAGCTGTAGCTCCCGATGTATACTCTCAGAAGACTTTTCTCGAATTAGTCGAGTATATCAAGCTTCTGAAGTAGTGGAAAAACAGTCTCTTGCTCAAATTTTCTAAATACCAACATGTCAGCATTATGTTGGTGACATGTTGTCTCGAATACAATGTGAAAAAGAGAAAACAATCCGACCTTTTGAAGTGGTTCCCAGCACCCAGCAAACCTACTCGAAATGCAATCGAATTCACAAATAAAGCGCCCGAGCATGTATTGGGTGTTATTGTCAATATTTCATCTGTCAAACCTCCTGAAAGCAATTGCTCTCATATGTTACAGCCTCATGTTTAGCCAGCCTTTTGTTTAGCAGAAATAAAGCACACAGAAGATAACCATCGCACAATTATTTAAGCTAGGTGCGACCGTGTGCTGACATTTAGGTTAGGCGGGGCGTCCTACGACCGCCTACTTTACGCATGCCTGATAATACGTATAGGAGTTGTCATTGTTACTTGAGTGCGAACTCACTTTTCTCTACATTCATCTGGTCGGAATCCAGTAGCAACACTGTCCGTCATGTGAAGATGTTCTCAGACATTTTTGAGTATAAATAAGCTGTGGTTACATCAGGGAACTTGTTTGTCAAGTAGAATCTGCTTGTTCACCGGAATGCCGAAGCTTCTAATTCAAACACAGGCACAAGGCCTGTGTTTGAATTACTTTGTGGCTATAAACCTTCTGTTTGGCCTTGCCATTAGCTGCTCTCAGATAGTTTACAACTTCTCTTCCCCGGGGATCCTACAACCTTTGTATGTGGATGGTAGCATGTTGCTAAAGGTAGGTGGTGCTTTTCGCAGGGTCGTGGAAGCTTGGAGCGCTTGGAGATAACTGGAGCAGGGGATCCGTCAGGACGAGGCTTAGGATTCAGCTACTTGAGAGTTGCCACTAAGCCGCCCAATGTCGGTGCCATAGTGGAGAAGAAAGCAGCTGTAGCACGAGGTGGAGGAGCTGTCACGGGAACTGACGCTGACCTCCGTCGTCTCAGTATGGATGCTGCTCGCGAGGTTTTACTCTCATGAATACTAATCTCGATGAGAATGCGGTAAAATGATCATTTCGATTGCGTGACTACGATCCGTGAAACTAACTGAGCTGTCAACCTTTGGAAATGCAGGTATTACTGAAATTCAAAGTTTCTGAAGCCCAAATAGATAAACTTACTCGGTGGCATCGAATAGCTTTAGTAAGGAAGCTTTCAAGTGAACAAGCAGCGTCAGGAGTGAAAGTCGGTGTTGCTGCCCTGAATAAGTTTGCCCGAGGACAACGGATGTCATTCATGCAGCTCCAACAACAAACTAGGGAAAAATGTCAGGAGATATGGGATCGTCAAGCGCAAAGTCTTGCAGCTGCTGAGGGAGAAGACTCTGAGTCTGACGGTGAGGCAAATGGTGATTTAGACTCATTTGCGGGAGACCTTGAGAATCTTCTGGAAGCTGAGGAAGGCGAGGATGGAGAAGAGAGAAAAGGCAGGAAAGATGGTATGAGAGGTCTAGGGGCTCGACGACGGGCTTTGCAAGCTCAGAAAGAGGAAGAAATGGAAGACGAAGAAGCCGAAGCAGCCGAGCTTCGCCGCATGCTTCTGGAAGGTCATTCTCTTGTGCATCTTCATTATCACCTGAGCTGAGTCCATCAAATGCCAAGTTTGTCCGCTAACTCAAACAACGATGACTTGCAGATGACGAGGCCGAAGAGGAGCAGAAGAAGAAGAAAAGTGGGACTGTGAGCAAGGAGAAGAAGGTTGCTCAGCCCAAAGAGGCAAACGGTGCTGAAGCAGAAGCATCAGCCTCAGCCGCTAAGAAGAAACGAAGGATTTTGAAACGAATCATTCGCACGAAGAAGCCAGATGGCACCTACACTTCTAGGGAGATTATTATCGATGATCCGAAGGAGGTAAGCTCTTATGTAGGTTGTGCATGTCTGCCTACCATCAACGGTTATCTTTTGTGGAAGCGCTGGTCTCGTTTTCAGGGTGATTGATTATGTACCAAACTTGATGCTCCAGGTTGCTCTCTATTTAGCCAAGAAGAATTCGTTGAAAACGGCTGGTCAGAAGACAACAGGGGACAAAGTAAATGTACCCAAGAAAGGTGCCGCAAAACCAAAGAAGGAAAAGAAGCCCCCTGTAATTAAAGATGCGGCTAAACCGAAGGTAAATCACTATCGAGCACTCAAAATTTCTCCATTCCTGTTTATGGTTGGCAGGATATCTTACTGTTATCAATATCTTAAGATTGTCTTATTTCTATCATCTATCGGCTATATAGTAGACTCTGCATGTCGTGTATCACCAGTGTGCACTTACAGATTTTATTCTGTGGGCTGTGACCGACAGGCACCGGCGAAGAAGGTGACTAGCAAAGAAGGAGGAAAAGAAAAGCCTGGCAGAGATGGGTTGCGAGTTGTTTGTGGTGCTTGTGGCCAGGTAGGCTTTGCTCCATCAAAGCATGTGGCGTATCAAAATACGGGCCTGAAATGGATAAGCTTGCTCTATCTTAACAGACGGGCTGTATTAGTTGCTGATCCAAGAACTCAGAAATATCTGCGGAATACTAACAGTCATAGGAAATTGATCATCTCGAAGCCAGTTACTGATGAGGAGCAAATTGCTTTCTAACGCGTTTATGCAATTGTTACCAGCTTGGGCACATGCGAACGAACAAGAAATGCCCACTGTACATGGAAGATTCTGAAGGGAATCTACAGCGACATGACAGCGCTGCCGCAGAAGGTTTACTTGAGCGTCAAGGCACGAAGATCACTATCAAGAAGAAGAAGATTGATGAACTACAGCTCAATAAGCCTACCCAACCGATGAAGGTTACGCCTAAGAAACCTGTGAAGGCCCCTACCCCAACAGTCAAGTTCCCTGCTTTGAAGATTAAGATACAGAGTGCTGCCAAAGAAAATCACTCTGAAAGTAGTTTAGGAAATAACGGTAGCAAATTAGAGACTAATAGTATAACGAAGGAGAGGCCACAGGTGGCCGAGCAAGAGAAGCCTATTGTGAAGAGCCCTCTTGTAGGAGATGACCTGAAATTTTCACAGGGTTTTCCTCCGGAGAAAATCCAAGGAAATAAGTTGAAGATCATGAAGAAAAACAAGAAGAAGAAGGTGAAGGAGAAGGCACCTGTGAAACAGGTCAAGAAGCCGGATGAGTACTATGATCAGCCAGGTGTAGGACATAGCGATAGCGAGTTTGAGAAAGAACGGGAGTTGGAAGCCGAGAGGCAGAGATTAGAAATGGAGAGAGAGCAGGAGGAAAGGGAAAAGGAGATGGAAAGAGAGCGGGAAAGGGAGAGGGAAGAACGTGAGAGGGACAGGCAAAGGGACCAGATGAGGCTTCAAAAGAGGAAAGAAAAGATGCTCGAAAAACAACGGAAGGAGAAAGAGTTAGAAAGAGAAGAGAAAGAGAGGGAAGAGAGAGAAAGGCTAGCACAAGAACAGATGGAGAAGGATAGACTAAGAGAACTGAAGGAGAAGAAGAGACAAAGAATAAGGGAGGAGAAAGAGAGGGAAAGGTTAAGGGAGGAGAAAGAGAAGGAGAGAGAATTACAGAAGGAGTTGGCGAGGGAAGAGAAGGAGAGGGCAAGGGCGAGGGAGGAAATGGAACGCGAGAAAGAAAGGGAGAGGCTGATGCGAGAAGAAAAGGAGAGGCAAGACAGGATTGAGAGGGAAAGGGCCGAGAAGGAAAGAGAGAGGCAAGAGAAGCTAAGACTACAAAGACTCAAACAGGAGAAAATCAGGGAGGAGGAACTTCAAAAGGAAAGGATGCAAAAGGCCAGGCTGGAGAAGGAGAAGAAGTTGAAGGAGAAACAGAAGGAGGAAAAACTGAAGGAACAGAAGCTATTGATGGAGAAACCGAAGATCCGCGAGAAACAGATTCATGCCCCTGCTGAGAAAGAGCTTAGGGTCCGTGAGCCACCAAGAGAGACTACTGGCAAGAAAGAGAAAGGGCGAGTTCTCAAGAAAAGGGCTCATACGGAGTTGGGAGCTGGAGGAGGTCAACGAGTGGATGCAGTCAAAAGGCGCAAAAGGGGAGGGGAGGAGGTAAATTGGAATAACCTTTCAGTAGCCTTCCTTGCTGGACATGTTTTGGTGCTTCATATGTGTGGAAGCTTGTGTTTGTTGTGACTTAAGACTGAATGTTACGGAGTTGTTTTTGATATTGTAAGGCTTGGAATCGTCTCCAATAAGGGGTTGTTATAAACGCATGAAGTAATATTTGACATAATGTGTCCACGGGTTAACGGAAGAGTTGATTGTGGAATGTCAAACCCGGTACAGGGTTTATTGAAACCCTCTGATTTTCTTGTTCACTACAGAGTTAAACCTCCCAATACTGACATACGTTGGTGCTAGGGTTTTATTTCACTATTGGGAGTTGCGTAACCTTGAGTATAACCTCCCAATAGTAACATACATTGTTGTCAGGGTTGGATTTCACTTTTGGGAGGTGTCACTCTGAAAAGGAAGTACATAAACTTCTCATCGTACATTACATCTGTCCTAGAACATTCTTTTATGTGTGTTGTTTGGTTCCAAGATCGCCTTCATTTGCAATTCTGTATTGATCACGACGATTGACGTAGGCGTTATAATAGCGTTTGAATTCGGCTAACACACAAAAACCTGAGTGAAACAATGGATCATAATATTTGTAGCGAAGTATTTACTGAAACCTAGAGAGAGTGAATTGTTGAAATAGACCTTTAAATAAACATATGCCACATTCTTCTTTCTCACAACTATGTATTGTGATCATGATAGGAATTTTACCTCGGAAATTACACTTGAGACTGTCACTATTGGATAGTATCATGTCACTAAATCTGCTCAATAAGAACAGTACGTCACTATTGGCAATAGTGACGTGTAATGGGCAACTATTTCGCACGGTTCGGAGGGCACTTCAGTAAGCCTTACAAGGGCTGAAGTCTTACTGTTCTTATTGAGCAGATTTACAAGTTACAAACTTATGGTTTTGGAATTTTACGTCACTAATGAGAGGATGTCATTCAGAAGAGGTGACACTATTGGGAGGTTTAACTCTGTACAAGTGTTTATGGCTTAGAGGAGGAATTTGCAGAGTCCCTAGTAAGGGGTGTTTTAGGGTATTTTTTGAGGATTTAAGTGAAGAGACTCTACCGGTTTTTAATGTAGCCCGCAAACCTAAAACTGTTCTAGGTGGCGTTTTCAAAGCCACGCTTACCGCGCCCCTTTCCCTCCGCCCTTCTCTTTTTTTCTGGGATGGTCAAATTCATTCCTCGAGTTGTTAAATTCACCCCCCGTCGCGGTAGTTGTCATGGCAACAAGGCTGTTCATCTTAAACGTTGATGCGTTGCAAATTACCATGTTGCGTCTCTCTTTTGCGCCACAAGATCTTTGGAAAGAGCTATAAATGCGTATTAGAGGGTGTTTTTAGTGTATATAATCTCTCTAGTGGGAGAGAAGGCCTGGAATATTACCTTTTGGCTGAGCCGGTCCAGTGGGTGTTCAAGCTCCACAGCAGCAGCAGATTCCGGCATATGCATATGCCGGAATCTGCTGCTGACATATGCATATGAAGGGTCACCACTGACAGCAGCTTGTGGATAGGGGGAAAAAGAAAATGAGAAAGAGAGTCCTTCGGCGGATCCCTCCAAAGGAGCTCGCCGCGTTCGTACGAGGATCGACATTTCTTAATGCCAAGCTTCTAATCCCTGCGGGCAACCGCCCACCGATTCCCGAAAATCACCCATGGACCTGGGCTTTTGTATCGGGGCTAGGACTAACAGTATCAAAAGGATACGGCCTAGTGCTAACAGACAAACCGTGGTAGGGTGCTTCCACTCGAATCTCGGAGGACTCCCCCGAAGAAGCTGTGTTAAGATCGCCTACGGTGTTGCTACTTGGGGTAGGAAAAGTACAACTACACCTTAATCCTTGGCCCTGTCGCAGGGGACGACGAAGCGTCCCCGATTCTCCGATCCCATACACAGTCATGTCGCACTCCATCTGTAATGGAAATCACATTGGTAGGAACATAAGCTGATACGTCTCCAGCTTGTGTTGTAGAACTAACCCGCAGGCCGTCACCGAACCGTACGTGATGGTTTTCGATCATACGGCTCCTACTGGAACATCCCGGGGGTGAAAACGAGGTCCTGCAATTATCCCCTGACGGGGATAAAAGCAGGGGTGAAAAAAAACTAGTATTTCCAGAAAACGTTGTTTGGTGACGTCTTATATGTTCACCAATTTCCCTTGTTCTCCGCCCACATATAAGGTCTTAGGATACGAATGCTTGCTGTCTATGTTGTCCAATGTTATGGTGCCTTGATGAAAGTCGGAGTGATGTTTGCGGCAGAGGGGGATTTGTTTTCTGGATAGGGCTGAAAGACGCACCTTGTCCAGATCCTGTTTTCCGGTGCTTTTGCCCTTAACGTTGACGGTGACGATGTAGCCCTTTAAACCTTTTTACCAGCTTCTGAATGTGATGGAGCTTTATGTTAGTTTTGGCAATCAGCGACACAGCACTATCGATTGGGTGAGAAGGGTCCGCCTATCTTCAAGGAATTTTTCCAAGCTTTAGGAGGTTTCATCCGCCGAAACGAGGAATTCTTTGCGTCTAGTGTTCATCTCCAGTGGGGTGGGAAACTCAGTGAGCATAGAATATTCACCAGGGTTCCCAGCTTCAATGAAGACTTTCGAAAATTTGGAGTATACGCCCATTATTTTTGACATAGTAGTGTTATACTTGTGCGCTAGTGTGTGTAAGAGAGAATATCTAAGCATCCAATTCACGATCTTGATTATCTCCCATCGATTGGTAGAAGTTGGTAGAAGTTTAGCAGACCATAGGCCTTTTGGTTAAAAAAAATTCGATTATTTGATCTGGGGCAGGGATTTAGGGAATGCACCCTGTTCGTCCCGTATGAATCCAACCGATCGCAGCTTCTTTCTCATTCTTGAATAAGGCATCTCCACCATACGTTCTACGATATTAAGTGAGCTGTGAAGCCAAAATAGCGTTAGCGTTTCCTTCTCCTCTGCCTGCGGCCGCGAATTTACCCTGAACGTATTTTTACCATCTTGTCCGAGGTCTCTCTGCTTAGGAGTTCCTCGAGCGCGCTATAGTAAAATACATATTAAAATTTAACTTTTCTTCTCGACGCGACGAGAAGAAAAATTAAATTTCAATATGAATTGTTGCCAAGAAACTGCCGCGACGGGGTGATTTTAAGAACGGGGATTTCAAAGCACTCCGTAGGATTTTATGGTTTTTGAAACCAAATTTTTAATATTTTCTCTTTTTTTTCGTATTTTGTTCATGTGAAAAAGGGAGTGTAGAATGTTTTGTTTCGTTGAGTTTTAACGGCTTGTGGAAACACCCCGTTAGCATCCCGGATGTGCTAAAACCCTCTGACGTGTTGCCCTAAGAGGCTCACATTCTGGGATTACACATTAGTCTCATGCAATGTTTTGAGCGGAATGCCCTGTAGATGATGACCACCAAGGTTTTTTTTTGGAAAGCTCCCTATTTAACCTTAAATTTTAACAGTTGTGGGCAAGTGCGGAATAGCTAATCATCACTTCGAAATTTGTTTTAATTTTCTCACTCAAGATGAGTGTTCGAATTGTACAACTGAAAGACGTCTCCCCTCTTTTTACGCCATCAAAGTTTGTATGGTCTTCCACAATCTAGTTGTTGACTCTGTGTAAGGTCCTCATGTCACCGGGATGTCTGGGTTTTTCCATCACGTTGGGCTGAGGAAATGGATGTCGTGTTTTTTGCAGGTGGAACTATCAAACCATTTTGAGTCAATTGTTGAACATCTCAAGAACTCAGACGTGGCCTACTTGTTTCTCAAACCGGTATCAAAGAAAGAGGCTCCTGATTATCTGGATTACGTAAAGAAGCCGATGGATTTGGGCTTGATCAGAGACAAGGTGCGTAAGATGGTGTACAGATGTCGGGATGACTTCCGCGCAGATGTGGAGCAAATTGCCGAAAACGCCCATATCTACAACGATGGTAGAAACCCTGGTATACCACCTCTCGCAGATAAGCTTCTTGACCTTTGTGATAGTCAATTGCGTTTAAAAAAGCAAGAGTTTGAAGAGTTGGAAGATGCATTGGAAGGATACGAAGGGGATGGACTATATGCTGCCCCCAATGGAAGAGTCTCCCCTCCTTTGGATCGCCGGCGCAAACGGCTGTATTGATCGACAGTTTTGCGTGTTTTTAATTTGGGTAGTCTGTAGCATATTAGATTTTGGCGCCACTCAGAGATGAGGAATAGGAGAGATTAGGAGAGGAGAGAAATTTGTACAGAATCAAGGACTAGTTCAGGAAATTCGAATGCCTTCACCCATTCATTCTTTTGTTCATACTGTGACATTAATTACACACTGAACTCAGGCCCTAGAGTAGTTACCCACAACAGGGTAATGCCTTCACAGCCGTCGTCCAGCCCCGGCCTATACCTTGGAACATAAGTGTATCACATATCATGAGACTTTAGAGCAGAGCAGGTAGCAAGCCCCCAATTTTTTCAGTCATCTATGTGACAAGGCCGTTGTTCAATATATTCAAAATAAAAGTCAAAACAGGGCAGCTAATAAAGCTGCGGTGGTTTTTACTCCGGGCATGTTGCCAGAACCCGTAGATGGTTGCTGTGCTGCGGTTTGCGAAATCTGTGCTGGTCATTGAGCGATGCAATATATGACAAGATTTAATAGCAATGAGTACTGCTTTTCTGGGTATCCGTTTATTTTATTTCGTTGGTTGGATGATGTGGATGAGGTTCTCAATCATTTTCGGAGGAGTTTGAATTTCATTCAACTTGTAACTTTATCTCCAAACACGTGCAGACGTCCTAACCCCGACCGTGAAACGTTCTGCGATGCTCGACGCTGACACTGATCGTATCTGAGTTAGCAATCCCATGAAGTAATTATCTGTAGAGAGTTAAACCTCCCGATAGTGACATACATTGGTGCGAAGGCTTTCCGGTCTGGTAGGTGTCATTTACAAGAGTAAAGTGCGTAACGTTGTGGTTATCCTTAAGTACGAAGTAGACATACGTTGGTGTTAGGGTTGGATGTCACTCAAAAAAGAAAGTGCGTAGATTTGACACGAAATTACACTTGACACATCACTTTTGGCAATATATAGTGACGGACTGAATTTATAAGCTATGATATTCCTGCATAATTAACATACTCAAATTGGTAGAAAAATACTTTCATGACCGCTACGTATTGATACTTCTATATAACAGTTATGAGACAAATGTTATTCGCAAAAATAGCAATCATGACAGCGGATCATATCTTTATTCCATCACATCTCAAGTATGTCATAATACAAATGTTGCAATAATATATTTTTCGCTGTGAAACTATGAAAATCTAACCAACCTGATGGGTATTACCATCTGATAGATATTTCCATCTATATAACTCAGCCCCATTTCAACCTCATATACCGGCCAGCTCAAGCACGGGGGATTTTGAATTAGGGGCCTAATTAAAAGTCTAATTAAGGACAGGGGATGTACAAAGTGTCAGCAGTGCACGAAGATGAAGTGATGAGAATTCGGAACATTATTGCATGACTTTTGAGTTGTCGACATTGTGGCGGTGTGCGGTGAAGCAAGATTCAATCGGGACGGCCCGATGAAAGAGAAAAGCAGAAGGGATGCTCCTTAGGCCCCAAATGTGGCAGAATCAGATGCCCGGCATTGTTCATTTTCTGCGGTGCATCTGTTGTGGATCAAATCGTAGGCTCGCTTCGGATTCTAGGCGTCCTTGGGCCCCACTCATGGTCTGTTGTGCCGCACAGGCAGAGCAGACGAGAGCTCTCGCTACAGAGACTTGCGGAGTGAGCACAATCTCACAGAGCATGCGTATCATTCGCGGGTTTGAAATGCTCGTCTACGATTTCCATTTGGACTCGAACGCTGACGACGAATTCTGAACACATGGTCCCTGTCTCTCGGGGGCACCACGATAGGACCGTCCGCCTTCGGCCGCATCAGTCATGTCTATCGACGCTACGTGCTTGAGGGCGATCTCTTCGGTGGATTTGCAGGCGAACTTCACTCAGCGGATTTCTAGGTCGAGAACTTTGACCTGTAGACATTGCAATTTTTCGCCAGCGATCCATCCGTCGAATGCAGCAGTGGAAGGTTGCGCCGGGATCAAATCGTCCACCGTCGGAGCTACTTCCGGCTTCCGCCCCTCAAATTCCTGTGAGTTACGAGTCCAAATTCGGTCCGGAGCTCACTCTTTCCAATCGATCGTGCCCCAATTTTATCGAGAACTGACGTGAGCAGGTGCGTCGTCTTCTTCTCTTCTTCTATTTCGTGCAGTGAGTCGATCGATGACGCAGCCGATTCCATTGACCGCCACGCGGTTCACGCCAAATCCGAGCGCGGCGATTTTGACAGAATCCGAGCAATGTGAGCAATCACGAGAGAACGAATGGCTTCTGGAAATCCGAGTGCGTCCCGAAGATGTGGCGGGATTCAAGCAGGACTACGAAGCCATAGCCGAGACATGGCCGTCGGACCTGAGGACGACGCGGGACGCCGTCGCGCTGGAGGATTTCGTGATCGACGCGGCGGCTCTGGTGCAGAAGTGGCTGCCGCGCGATGTCCTGCGACGCGTCACGAAGTTCAACAGCGACGCGAGCCAGCCGTCGGCGCTGGTGATCCGCGGCCTGCCGATCGACGACGACCTGCCGCCCACGACCGCCGAGGGGGCGCAGATCAAAGTCGGGAAATACATGTCGGAGACTTGGCTCGCCGGAATCGGTCGCGTCATCGGGCAGCCGTTCAATTTGCGGTTCGGGCCGATGGAATCGCTGAAAACCGGAGGGCTCGGGATGCTGTTCAAGGACATCCTCCCTGTCCTGTCCGAGGAGGAGAAGGTCAGCCAGAATGGCAGCGCTGCCTATCTGGACCTCCACTGCGACTACTTCCAGTGCGTGCAGGAATGCTGGGTGCACACGCTGGCCTTCATCGGGATCCGGGGCGACCCGCAACTCGCCGGGCGAACTCTGCTGGCGGATTTTCGCGAAATTTACAAGCGGGCAAATTCGGCCGACATCGAGCTCTTGCGGGCGAAGCCGATTACATGGCGATTCGGGCCTCGTCCCGAGCAGTGGTTCTCGCAGCTGATCATCGACGGCAGCGACGACAATCCGCACATTTACCTCTTCGATGAGATGGTGGACAATTTCCATCAAGTGAAGGATCTCGTGTCCGGGGACCCCGACGTCGTCGCCGCTTACAGGCGCATGAAAGTTCTGGGCCGCGATCTGGCGCTCGAGCACGGAGGTGTCCGATTGGAAGGCGGAGACGTGCTGCTTCTGAACCAGAGACGCGTCGCTCACGGGCGCAACGGTTTCGAGGCCAAGTACGACGGCAACGATCGCTGGCTTCAGAAGCTGTACGTGAACGAGGGCCAGATTTGGCAGCCTCACGGTCACTCGCCCTGGCCCGAGCGTGTGCTGCCGTATGTAGTGAGGAAGACTTCATCGTAAGACTTTCCAGTGCCCGAGACCTCTTCCGCCATGTTCTAGTGCTCTTTCGAGCTGAAATCTGTCGATGAATCCATGTGCAAAGTAAATTCGTACGGAGTATGGTGATCGAAATGTAAATCTTTCTGATTCGATTTCGGAATTTGTGCAATGCCTGTGGTAGATTGCATAGGCATCGCACCAGATATGTTTTCGAAAATACGTTATGATTTTTTTTCTGCATATATATGCTATACCCTGCGAAGCAAACATGTTCTGTAAACATAGGCATTGTACCTACGGTCGGGGGTAGTATACATACTTTAAGCCATCGTGGAGGTTTTTCTTTTAGCTCCATTCGTGAAACTCGGACCTGCATAGTTGGAAATATAGTATCTAAGTATTTGGGTGTCTTGACTTTTGAAATAAAGAAAGTCCAATATATAATGTATATATTTGGCCGGCGAGAGCAACGGATGTTCAGAGGGAGAAACGCTCCAATTATATTAATTTTTTCATAAAAAGATCACTTGTGTATATAAGTGAATATTTTTATCGGTTATTAATGATTAACTATTTTTTTAAATTAAAATTTATGTTTTTAACATCATCTGTTAACTCGAATCTGGGATATTTATCTTTTAGTATTCGTGAACATATTTTTGAGTTACAGAAAGTTTCAGGGAAAAAAATCATATTATTTACGAAATTTTCAACTGTAAAGTGATTTCCAAGAAGATTACAGAGTAGTATAGGAAGATGTCATCAGACTTTCAATAATATACATAAAATATCAACAAGAGCTAGGTGTCAATAATATGTAATATATATTTTAAATCTTGGTTTAAGACTGAGTTCAGAAATGACACTATTCTTGAATTAAACCTTACATGAAATGAATAAATACATCCATCAAACACCCTTCAACTCTTATGCACTTTTTCCTCAAGATCTTGCCTATCCCCATCAATCTCGATATCCTCATCCTTGACATGTGAGGCATTCGTGTTCGAGGATTGGTCCTTCGTCGACTTTTTGTCATCATGCGTCGAGGTTTATATATATTCTTCGTCCTTAGTGAAAATTTAAACTAAGAGTTTACTTTTGCTACTTTGAGTTTGACCTCCTGAACGCATTCAGAAACATCGAACGATGACTTGCCAACTCAGGAGGTCTGAAGCTTCGTACGGCTGTGTAAGGTTGAAGAAAGGCTTGTGATGGTTGAATGACGATCTGTCGGAGGCACTTCCTCCAACACATTGTCCTTCAACCATGACCCAACAATTCCCTCATTCGCACCGGCATCCCATTATGGAGCCAATCCAGTGCCTTCGAAACCTCAGTGGTTAGGATAATGAACAAATGAAGAATATTGACTTCATCGTATTTCCAATTTTCGTCCAAAGCAGCAATATATACATATATAAAATATTGGAGTCCGTTCATCCTTGCAATGTATATAATATAGTTGCTTGAGCCCATATTTTTCCCTCTTGCACCATCCTTCTTCTATGGTGACACAGTCGCATGGATGTTGTTTGGTTCTTAAAGCACCTCGCCATTGAGTACTCTCCTTGTCCTCCTTGTGTGAATAGCATCTCTCCATTTCAATTTGATTCTAATCATCAACTTTCATTCGAGTATTTCAAACTAATTGATTTCGAGAAAAAAATTATCATGACCTTTAATAATTGTATTGTCAACGTTTGTCCAAATTCATACAGTATTGATCTTTTCTCTAGTTTTGCTAATGGATTAATGATTGTCATGTTTTATATCTCACACCTCTTAAAAAAAATGTTTTTAAAAGTAGTATCAAGTATAAAAGTCATCGTATATTATCTCATAATATCTTATGGATCTTCATATTTGATTTGATTTTATTGTCTTATTATCCAAATTCAAATTTCTGTATTTATTTTGAATAAAAATTACTCTAGATTTTTTAGTTCAATTTTGTAAAAAATACATGCAATTTCGCAACTCAGTCTATCTATTTTCACTCAAAATGTATTCAATTGTATCTAAACTAAATCTAGACACATATACATAATATGGATATTTTTTCTAGATACAAATTTATATTTCTAAAACCTTGTGATTATAATTCTGATCAATTGTTCTTTTTTTTCAACTTTAATACAATAATTTTTTTTTAAAATTTTTATATAAATTTAAACTAAAATTTAAATATTAAAATTTGACTTCATAATTTTAAAATGTTATTCAAATGTATTGTAAAATTTGGGGAAAAAATTAACGTTTTTATTATTTTCAATCACTATTATTACATGAAGTTTCACTTAAAATTTGAAACTTAAATTTTTACATATATTTAAACATCCAATTTTGTATACATTTTACGAATTTTTGATTGAAAAAAATAAAATATACTATCAAATAAAGAAATTAACTTAAAATAAATTAAAATTAACAAGTCGAAAATTTGAAAATGATTTTTTTGGGTTATTGTTTATTAACATTCATAAGAAAATATATTTTGAACAGAAGCAAAAAAATAAAATATGTTCATTTCAGAGAGGTTATATTGATGAAAGACATAAAAATACTTATCTTATACAAATTATTCCAGCTCTGTTATACAATGATAGCTAACAAGTCCATCACATTATAGTTAGTTCAATTGACCAAGACTTGAGTTCTTGAGTTCGGCGTTTCGTGGAATCGAATAACTTCTCCATACAAAATTTGTTCCAATGTATCTTAATACTGTAACAATGCAAATTCAATTAGATTTTGATACTTAAGAATATGGTTCAATTCTCTCTGACTTTAGACAGTTCAATCACCATTGAGATCTTGAGCATGATATCACTGAAATTATCTTCTTGTCTTCTCGAGTTCCCGAGAAACTGAGACGATATTAAGAAAAATAATAGTCCGCTCAAGGTCTCACAAAATTATTAGATGGACGAAGTTCTCAAGTTGAGTGAGTCACTGCGACTGGTCCATGTGTCTCCCAGTTCGTTGCAGGGCCGTTCAGCCAAGTCGGCTCATTCTGATGGAGCAGCGATTGGGGAGCCTGTCCTCGTGGAGTTTTCATTCATTACGATCAAGTGTCCTTCGAAGTCAGATAGTAGACTGGACTTGCCAGAAAATTTGTACAGAACTTACCGAAATTGCATCAGAAGGGGAAAGAATCACAAGGAATGGATGTGACTTAATGTGGATACCGTAGCCTGTCCTTGTGACAGTTCCCTGGTCGTAGTTCAGACTGGTTAGAAATGTCGTACAGAATTCAGGTCAGCTGGAAGCTGATGTCTCTAATTAAGTTTGATTACGGTACCCTGTCGAATCAGTTTCATGCTCCGGACACTCGACGAAACAACTGATTGTGGAAAGTTTCGTGTCGTTGTCGAGAGCTCGTGGCCGTTTACGCTGGAAGGTAAAGTCAAAGATCCTGATGCTGTGGAATCCTGGCCCCATGCAGTTTGTTATGGCCGCAAGTTCCTCTGCAACTATCGTCTCAGACCAAGAAGTCCATAACAGTACTCTTCTGCCGCCGGAACAACGGATCGGGTACAAGGATCTGGAGAGAAAGTACGTACTGCGTCATGTACGTGTGTCTGAAAGATTGCAGCGTCGATGGGCCGTCCGTATCAGTACGATCCTTAGCTACAGAAAAAGGTCACGCTCGATCCCGACATGCCGGTCGATTCGGTGGACGGTTTCACACTACTGACTGTCCGACCACGGTGTCTTAGAATGAATCCGGTTTCAAAACACGTCGAATAATTGATCGTCCGCTGTCAATCTCACTCCGGCATTACTAAATGTGTTAACACTTGTACTTCAGATATAAATTAGCCTACGACTGTGTTTCTGGACACCTTCCTTCGAGATAAAGAATGAGAGAAGGGTCTGTATTCCGTATATGGAATGCAATGATTGTTTCGACATGCGTCCTTACTTTCCACAAATTACACGGAGACATTTATAGAGATTCTCGAACTCAAAGTTTTATCTCAGTGGTGATACATATACTTTGATTGGATTGGGTTCATGAATCGAAATGGTCTTCTCACAGTCACGAAATTCTAGCGAGTACGTTTGTACTCTTGTGAATGGCGCTGGACAAAGATCTGGGTCTTCACTTCACCCGCGCACGGAGGTGGAGTTGCAGAAGCAGTTACGAGTCACGAAATTTATTGTGGCTTCGTGATCAACCGTGCAGCCGCCCCTGAGTGGTACCAATGTTGTACCATTCCGGTAACTGTGATCCCGTAACATGTAACGAAACTTTCAGGACAGTACGCGCAGACGAGAACAGTCTCGATGAAAGAGGCTCGATGGCTGCTCTCTCACGAGGAGCTGCCCTCCGCGGAACGTATAAATTGGAGGCTGCGGACTCTTTTTTTCACAGAGCACAGTTTGTAGTCTCAGACGTCGAGAAGCCTTCTGAAGTTCGAGAATCGTTCTTAAGTTCCATCTCAGCGCAAGAGTTTGTAACTTTTACACGGCACTCAAGATGTCGGGCTGTGGAAGTGCTGGATGCCAATGCGGTAATCCCTGCCTCTGCAGCAGCGGATGCAGGTGAGTGTGTTGAGCTTTGAAAGATATTGTGCCTGCAATGTTGATTGAAGTTCATCTCTCCTTGAGTCGAAGTTTGCGTTTCTAGAATTATCTCCTCTTGCACTTACTACTGTATGGATTTAACATGAAGAATTGGATCTGAATCTCACGCTGTTATCGTTTCGTTTTCTTGCCAATATAGCTTGTCATTGGGGTCTGATGAAGATGGATCGATGGATTGATATTATCAGCAGCTAACTCTCGTGTTCCTGATTCTGGAAATAAAGCTGCGGATGCAAGCGGTCTGTGGATGTGACAATTGACATCCCCATGGAGGGCGATTGCAAGTGTGGATCGAACTGCGATTGCTCCAACTGCTCTTGCCACAAGTGAAGACATAATGGACTCCTGGTTTGAAGCCACAAGGATTTGGGGGTCTCAAACGTAAATCCTTGTACTTCTCTAACTACTCTTCGGATGATCAAGAGCCAAAGAAATAAATGACAGAAATGCTGCGGGGCTTGTGCAGAGTTTCATGTGATGTTAGTGGGGGACTGTTCAATCGAGTGTGTAGAGATGCCATCTTTGCTTTGACAGGTTCAGGAGCTTCATGTTTTATGGACTAGTGAGTTAAAGTAGAAGATGTTTGTGGGGTCCATAGCTTACAGCAGGAAGTGGACGGTATGCCTGTAAGCAACTTGTTCAGATGTACAAGTGACTCCCCGAATAAAAAGTGTGTGCACATTATCTTCCATTTGGGTTTGTGGTGTCTTTGATTTGTACGAGTATTTTCAGATAGCGCAATTTGCATCCTTCTATGCTTGCACCTTTGGAAACTGAGCATCTGGGATCATGTGACGATCAAATCTATTCCAGTGCCATCAATTTTCATTTTTCAAGACAACTTTTACATCAGGTTGTCCTAATTCCAAATTCGGCATAGGCCGTCTTTCTTCACGAATTACCTGTAATGAAGAATTCGAACCCATATGCTCTGCTTAAAAGGCAAATAATTTAACTGTACTCTATATCCGCATTGAAGAATATAACAAGAGCGATCAGGTCCCCCATATAGATGATATATATTAGTGAGCTTATTTATGCGGATAGGGATGCGGATGCTCATCCCTGATCGATCCGAATACGTGTTTTCTGAAGCATGGCACTCGGAATTGTGCATCCAAGTCACTTGCGCAAGCTGCATGTTTAGGCAAAGTCACCATAAGGCCAGGAACTTTGGATACTTCGGGTGATAACAAGCAAGCTTAAACAAGTATCCTTCGTAATTACACAAAAAAGTAAACTTAATTGGCTCATTCTGTACCCTTCAAACGATTAATATGATTTCTCGTAATTATATCAAATTTAAAATACATCAAATATAATTTAAAAAAATATAAAAAAATATATGTGTATTAAATTATCCTGAATTTCCAAATATAGACCAGACTAATCCATCCTCATTTTATTTTATGACATGAGTTGTTGAAACAACAGATTTATACTTAAAAAATATATATACGAAAAAAAAAACTTTAAAAGCAGATATCATCTGCTCGCTTTATTTTGATTTCAACTTCTACTTGCGCAAGTTTCTGTTCCCTCGTGTTGTCACCACCAAATTCAGTGATAGTGATGAATATGACCTTCCGAAACTTGTGCAGGGCGTGACGAACTTATGCAGCATGAATGGCAACAGGAAGCAGGAATTACTTCTCATGGAAAAATTTATTAAATGAAGGAAAGGGTTTGAACTACTCAGTTCCAAATTGTTCTTCGTTCGCATGTGCATGCATTGAGACCTCGATTACGAGCTGGCTGTTACGTGCTGTAGAAACGACCTATACCGTAGGCCGAGCTTGCGATGGGAGCGTTTGCGTTCAAAACTGGTTACCGATTCTACCAACCATGCCATTGCTGAGATAGATGGTTTGATCTCCATGGCATAAGAAATCTTTCTTGCAGTCTCCTTCCATCCCATCAGCGGGTTCTGGCGGACTTGAATTTCATTCAGTCTTTCTTGCACTTGTGTGTGGTTCATGACCCTGATGAAGAATTCGCTCCCTTTCTAAGTCCTGAGGGTAAGAACTGAATTCAGCATATGCTCCTTATCAATGCTGCTGGACTTTAATCTGTCTCCTGCCCACCAAAGTATGTATCTAGGCGACAAAATGTAAAAGCAAATTTATGATAACAAGGCCATCTAGCGTTTGGTTCTGAACTTCGTTGATTCATTTGTTCTTGACTCATGTATTGGCATCTCGCAGCGTCTTGATCGAAGCTCCCTGACTTCCTGACTTGGGATGTAATTCTATGTACTATATGCATTCCTGCAAAATCGGACGACTCGCTTAGTTGCACAAACTTTTACAAACGGCCGTACTGCCAGGTGTCAGGGATCCCAGTTTCTTTCTCCTCTTTCTTTCTTTCTTCATCCTCCCTTCGGGCTGCCCCGGATCAGCCGGATTTTATCTCAGTTTTGGGAACGGGGAGGCGGGGCACTTTGCGGGGAGGGAACGGGGAGGGCACTTTGCGGCAACCATGTAGAGGCCGCAACGTTGTATGTAGTGCGTTGCAATGATCTACGCCGCAACAATGATCGCAGTCGTGTCGGGGAACGTTGCGGGAAAAAGAACTAAAACTGAACTGCAAGAGGGATAGCTCAGATGGAATCCCTAATATTCAGACTGTAATATTTGTAATGAAACGGTGATAACAAATTGAGGCGACGAAATTTTAAGCGGCAAAGATTAGGGTTTTTGAAAATAGAATCACATCAATATTCTCCAGCTCGTCGTTTTGACGTCGCTTTTGGGTGCCAATGTCAGTGCTTTGAGGAGCTCGTGCCAGAGCTCGTGCTTGTACTTTTCTTGTCATTTCAGGTGCTTTTGTAGGTGTGGTGACAGCATGGAGGCAGGATGGATTGTGCAGGACCCACCTTATGAAGGCCCTTTCAATTCGTTAATGTTGAATTGGTCAAATGGGACGGCCTACATCAAAAGCTCGAGGCTTCACGATTTTGTTTCGGGAGAGGGATCTTGTCATAGTGATGCGAAGACAGAATTTGTGACACGTTGCTCATACAAGGGTGGAGGTACTAGGCACAATTGGGAATCGTATGCAATGTATTATTGCAAGTATGGTACTCCAGAAAGGGGCAAGAAGAGTATGCTTTCCTCGAATTTTATTCAAGATCCATCAACGAAGGCAAAATTTGGTCCTGGCAGCAGGGATAGACTAGATCATGATTCGCATCACAAGGGCTATCAGTGCAGGTTTAGTGCCATTAAACTGTTGTCTAATGATCACATTCCACCAGGAATCACAAAATTGATATACAAGCATAGAAGACACGTAAATGCTGCAGGTGTAGCTTGTCATGGCACAGCGTGTTCAGATAGTGTTGGCTTGCCATCTCAAATGGCGCGCAATTTATCCTCTGAATGCAGGTAACGGCATATTTGTTACATTTTCAATATATTTGTTTATCGTTCACAGTCAATCTCCCGTCATATTTGTAATATCTACAATAAGTTTGTTGTTATTACAGTTTGTAAAACTTTGACACTAAGCAAGCACGTTGTCTAATATTTTCTACGTTCTTATGCCAGGGAGTGGGTTGAATGCGAGTTAAGAAGAGATTTAACTCCTCCACAAATTCTCATGCGTGCTGCAAAAGCACTGTTTGAAAATCATCAGCGCTTAGGCTATGTGCAAGGGTCCCCTATTAGAGATCTTTATGTCACATCTGCCGATGTGTATAATATCAAATTGGAACTGGACAAAGAAACTTGGAGAAGGCATGCTAATGATAGAATTAGCACAGAATTATGGATGAAAGCGAATTCATCTCAAGTTGTTTTGTATCAGGCACCAAAAAGTGATCCATTTAAACCATTGAGGCTTGCTGTTACAAGACCCTTGCTCCTAGATTGGTTGCTAAAACATGGAAATGGAGGTTGTGTTGCTATAGATGGAACGCATGGCACGCAGAAGTATAAGGTAATATTCTACTACCACATTTTGATGTTTTTATCATCAAGCTTCCATGATTATGTATATTCTACCTTACTATTTGCAATCTCTGCAAGATATTTGAAAAAATGACGGTTTGGAGCTTTAACCAATCCTGTAAGAGATTATTGAACGTCTCAATGTGTGATGTATATGTTGTTTTATATACCTTGATCACGTCTAAATTATCAAGACATAAAAATAGCGAATCATTCATTTGTATCAGGTTTAGCTTAGTATCAATGAAGATGAATACTTTGTAGACGATTGCTAGCAGCAAACTGATACGTTTATTTCATTTTTTGCAATGCAGTATCCACTGTACACCCTGATGGTGTTTGACGAATATGAACACGGACATCCTACTGTTTTTGGATTCCTCGAAAAAGAAGAAACAGAAGATCTGGTGGATTTATTATCTGCAGTGAAGAAGATGGCCCAACATTATATCCCTGGATGGATGCCCTCGTGCTTCATGACGGATTGTGCTGACAATGAGAGACTTGCCCTAGACATTGTTTTTCCGCATATCCCTGTATTTCTTTGCATATATCATGTTCGAAAAGCATGGACAAAGAAATTGATTGAGGTTGTGAGTGGTCATGAAAAGAGAGCTATTATGAATGCTGCTTTAGAAGACCTGTGCTTTGGAAGCACATTAATTGCTGATGGAGAAGAATTTGATGTGGAAAGATCTGCTGCGATGAAGCTTCTGTTATTTTACAAAAAATTTCAGCTCTCTGAGCCACAATTTGTGAAATACTTTCAAAAAGAATGGGAACCTTGTATGGGTAAGTGTAAGTTTGTAACATGTGCATTATATTTGAAGTTATTACATTTTGGAAGTTGTTTTTTGCTTAATGAACTTCCACAAGCACATCTAACTTACTGTTTTGGAATTCAGGTCAGTGGATTCGTGATGAACGGAGGAAGACATGTCGTAACAATCAAGATACCAACAACGCTATGGAATCAATGCATGGACACATGAAGGATTTCCTTTATGGCTGGCGCAGGAATGCACATGAGCAACGTTTGGATCATACAGTATATGGTCTGCTAGGGGATTTTGTAATGAGAATTTGGTACAAAGATCAGAAGAAGCTACTTGGCTTTATTCCAAATAAGAAGAAAGATCAACGTGTGATTGCTGTGATCATGAAGACAAGATCTATGCTAACTGTCCCTGTTACTTGGCCTCATGGCTATGCAGGCCCCGCATTAGTGGGCTCTACATCAAAGCTAAATAGAAGGTATCTTGTAAATTGGAGACGAGAAAAGTATGCATGCGAGTGCTTCTGGTCACTCCAAGGCAACTTTTGCAAACATCAGGTACAACTCAGATTGTAATTCTGTTTTTGATTGCATATATTGGTCGTATCGGTATTTTTTATTAACACTGCTTGATTCATGTGTGTCTAGATTCTTATTCTACGAAGGAAAGGATATTCCGAGACCAACATCCGCATTTGTTTGGGCATACGGTTTGGTGGAATACGAGGTGGAATCAAAGAGCTCTTTGATAAAGGTACTTCATCACAGATATATGATTTCAATGAGGATCCAGTCCTTCGAAGAGAACTTGCAGATATTGAAGTCAAAGATGATTGCCATGACACCTTCAACCTTACAGAAGGTACTTCAAACTGTCAGTTTAATGTGCAATAACTGCATATATTTTGCAGAAATGACAGTTTGAGTGATGAAACTACCTAACCGTACATGTTCTATGTGTTATC